GGTCACGTTTGTGGAAGTCTAGACTGTGTGAAAACCCTGGAGAAACAACACAAGCAGTTGACGGTATTGTTTGGAAATGTAGTGATGAAAGCAAAAACGGAAACGGAACTGATAGCAGATTGCCATGGAGGAACCGATGTGAATCTGGTGACAGCACTAGGATTCTACAGCATGTTTGGTTCTTTAGAGTCACTATTAAATCTAGAACAGAAACATGAGATGGTCACAGCCATCAGCGTAGAAGTATTCCCAGGAGTTCTGCAGACTGAGCAGAAGTATATAGGAAAATGGAGGGAAGCAATCGAAACGGAGATGAACATCAGACACAGCGAAACTTATTGTAGACCATCAGGAGCACGATATTTGGTGGGTTCAATGTTGGCTCCAATGTGCAAGAGCAAGTATCCTGTACATTTCGTAGCTGTGGATGTGAAGAGTACAAGAACGATTGTGGATCAAGCCTTTTCAGTGCCGAAGTGCGTGAGGTTGGCAAGAATGTCTGAAAAGTCTTACGAGTTACTGTGTAAGATGTTCTCAGCAGTCCCAGAAAGAACCAAAGAGGAGTTGGAGTCAATACTAGGAAAGAAGTTCATGGGATATGTGAGCGGGAACTTCAGTGACTTTGAAAAACAGAAACAGAGAGGATCAACTGTCACAGATTACAATGCAGTAGATGAGAATGATGAGATCCACCGAGTGATGATGGAAGTGGAGCCATTGCTGGAAGCTTCGGGAAAACGGAATTGGAGGAGCATCATGTTGACACATGACGAGTTTCCTTGCCACTGCTTGCTGCAGACCTGGTGGTATCCCAAGCGTAGTAATCTGGTGTTGATCTGGGACTCTGGAGAGCTGCTCTCCATGGGTTTACCAGATTCATCACAGCCCATAACAATAGTGATAGTGGGAGTTATGATGGCGATACGATGGCTGGAAGCTCATGTGAGAGAAAATAATAGACAGGAGGCACCGACGAGAGAACAATTGCAGAAATTAGATTGTCTAAAAGATTTAGATCTTTTTGAGACAATGTGCAAAGTTCTAAACATTCCGATGGAAGTGAAGAAGATATGGGCAAGAAAACGATTGATGCCATGGTTCAGAGCTAACATGACTGCATGGTTGTACGAGTATGCGAAAAAGCATATGTCGAAACATGGCAGAGTGTACAGTGAGTATCAGCTGGACATTGGGGCAGGAGCTTTCAAGCGAGCTTTCGTGACCCATCGGAATGCAGTGACCACCGCTGTGAAAAGAATTTCCAGGACGAGCGAGCGTAGTGGAAATGAGAAGGCAGAGATGCTGAAAGAAGATTTGGAAAGAAACGTGGCGTTGTGTCTCCACAACAGCTTCTGTAGAAACAGAGAATCAAACGTGGATCCCCTACCTTGCTGTAAACAGAGGGTGGAAGAGCAGAAGTGTTGGAGGACGGCTTCCAACAGCGTCAGGATAGTCAATGACGTGCTGCAAGACACGGAGACCGAGAGTGCAGAGTCAGCGTCACAGGAGGAGGAAATGGAGCATTGATGAATGGTCGAGAAAACAAGAGGCAACAAGAAAGAAAATTAGAAGAATTTAGAAGTTTTAGAACTTCTAAACGACGAAAAAAGAAGAGAACAAAGGGATAATGAAGAAAAGTTAAAACTCAGAATTGTTTTATGTGTGTGAAAAACTCAAGTGAGAAACCAAGCAACCAAGTTGTAATTGAAAACTGAAACATTTAAGTTGAGTTTGGAAATTGTTGCATTTATAAATTTGCATTTTGGTTTTAGTTGAAGTGGCTTTAGAGACACTCACTTATTATTTATTTAGAAAGGCTTGAGGGAAGAGTATATTTAAATATTCCAGCCTGCATGATTGTTTTTAATCACTTAGGAAGACCGATAACTTTGTGGTGACATGAAAAACTGGAGTAACTTCTTGAGGAGGGAGGTTGTTGCATTGTTCTTTCTAACCACAAAGTTTCTTAGTTTTAATATTCAGGACAATAAACAAGCAAGATTTCCGAAGGGAAGGAGCATAGTAGGATAATTTTAGCTTGTTGGTTGGCAGGACTGTCCTGCAAGCCAGCACCTTTTAAATCTAAGAGAAAAGAGTTTTAATCGGGACATAGACACTGGAAGTCAGAAAACATGTTTTATCTTAGGTCATATTCTCAATGTGCAGATTAATGAAAGAATTTGAAGGCTATAGTGATGTAGTATGATGCCATTTATATTCTGCAGTGAGTTGATATGACGTGGATAAAAGTAATTCCGTGCATTTTGTAAATTCTGTTCGATGGCACTGTAACCATTTTATGAACATTGCGCGATTCAATGAGGACATTGACCGGACTGTCCGGGGAGTATGTGACATTCGACCAGAATGGCCAAAATGCAGTCTCTGCAGAATTCGGTATTTTAGCAGCAAGCCTTCCGAATTGGCGATTTAGAACGGATAAGGACGTTATTTGAACGATTAGCCAAACGGTGAAGGCTAGAAGATTCTGGAATTCTAATTTTTAAAAATTCGAATTATGACGTCATATTTCTGAGAAACGTCAGAGACGGCCATTTTAGCTAAAATAGCAGAAAGAACAGAACAACTTTTATCTGCGATTACGAACAGTACGAAATCGAGACTAAAAAACAACAACGAACTACCAAACAGCAGAGGACGTTCCGAGTTGCAACTATTGTGCTGTTACAATAGTTGCAAGGCCGTTGCGAGCAACGGTGAAGGGTAAAACCCAGCCTTCCGAGTTATTGTGAACTGGATATTAAGAAGCTTGATTCACCGGATTCAAGAATCCGGAAGGGTCTCGGGACGTGGACTTTTATGAACTTATATTGAATTTTAGCATCCGTCATGTCCTGACTTGAATTTAATTAAGATCTTAATTCGTTTTGACAAGAATGAGGAGCTAGAAGTAGGGGGGAAAGGGTTGATCCATCTTCGATGGAGATGATGATTTTTATCTACTGAACAAAAACAATAGTAATATAATAAGTAGTAGCCCTGTTTTTAGGAGTGACCTCGTGGTCTGGTGTAACATTCGTCTACTACAGTCACACATGAGGCTTAAGAAAAATAGGCCCTATAACCACTGGCTCAAGGGTCAGGGACACTATCTCTTGTGTTTTTCTACCTCAAGAACGGTCGGAGCCAGTTCGGTTCGCTTGTGACATGAGACTACGACCCGTTACAGCTTAAAGGCTACTACTAAAATATCCCCCCACTCTAGAATTAGAAACGTCCCCATACTTAGGTCTCTAGATACCCAAAATACATGAACGCCGTTAAAAACCGGGTCGGAACAATCCGTTAAGTTGCTTTTTTTTTATTAGACAGTGGAACTTTGATCCATTTCAGATGGATCAACCTAAAACTCGCCTTACCTCAACATAACAATCATAAAACACACTCTAGAAATTTAAATTAAGGACTCACATGTTGATGCGCTCAAGCACAGGAAGTAATTAAATGGGTGAGCAACTCTAGAATTAACTAAAATAACTAGATAAGTTCAATGTTTATCAGTTTGAATGGTAATGGTAAGTTTGAACTCAAGAACGAAGTTTTATGTGGACCATTGGGACACTCAAGCTGTCCACCTTTCCGTCGAAGGTTCACTCTGGTTCAGTTCGAATAATTACTCTCTCGGGAATACTCTGTCTTCTATTTCAGATAGGACAGCTCTACTCTTGTTCACTATGATGGAAATTGCGAATAGCAATTTCCCACTCGTTTTTATCTGACAACTTTCCCGCAATTGTTCTAAAATTGTTCTCCTTTCTTTTTCTGATTTTCAGTTCTCGCGAGAAAATCGTGCATGACATGTTCCATTCGAAATTTTAAAAATTTAAATTTCACTCCAAAATCAAGTGTTTTCTGCTCTTCTCAAGGTCAAACTTCCAAATATGACCGACTGGCACATGGGGATACAGAGACCCAGCCATGAGCTCACTAACTTTGCATGTAATTCAGTTAATTTGAGCGTTCTGGTCGAAGCCGGAGAACAGTAACGTTTTTGTCAGCCTGATGTAAGAAAGACCACCGAAAAGTACTGGCTTGGTAGAGACGGTGAAAAACATGCAAAGCTCTGTTTAGACGCTAGCCAGTCGTCTTAAGACTTAGTTTTGTTATCCGTCGATATGTATCTTCCGGGCGAATGTTACATTTAGTATTTTACTAAAAAACATCAAAATTACTATAAATTAGTTAGCAAAATTACTTAGAAATTCAAAATCTAGAGTTTTTTCAAGAATAAAAAACAGATTAGGACTCCCAAAAAAAACAATCGGAAGTGAAGATGATCAAATTATTTGAAATTTGGAAACTAATCGCAGAAAAACAATAATTTTCCTGTTTCAAGGTTTACTGTTCGACGCTTTGGATGCAGTTGCCTGCCTTGGTTTTAGGCTTTAAGCGAAATTCTGCTTCATGAACTTTCGGCGATATGTTCTTAGCTGTTTTAAATTCCGTTAATGTCTAGACCGTTGCTCTTTTTAATTAATTCTGCCTGTCCGAACTTTTTGCAACTGTCTATAGCGTTGGTATGGCCCTATCTAACCTGTGCACGGACCGTCGCATGACCGAAGAGCCCATTTTAATTGACCCTCTCCTCCCTGTATCGCAAGTGATTCAACGCTCAGCTTCGCCTGGTAATAAATATATGATTTTTCTAGCGTTTTTAAATGTTGCCCGAGTTTTCTTTGTGAATTGCACACCAACTGTCTTCGCTCATTTATACTAATATTTTACTTTTTCTATTCTCAGTGACGAATAATTTTGAAAATTTTAATTTCATGCAATAATACTCCATGACCGAAGAGCCCATTTTAATTGACCCTCTCCTCCCTGTATCGCAAGTGATTCAACGCTCAGCTTCGCCTGGTAATAAATATATGATTTTTCTAGCGTTTTTAAATGTTGCCCGAGTTTTCTTTGTGAATTGCACACCAACTGTCTTCGCTCATTTATACTAATATTTTACTTTTTCTATTCTCAGTGACGAATAATTTTGAAAATTTTAATTTCATGCAATAATACTCCATTTGAAATCCTTCAATTCAATCGATCTGTTCCATCAATTTGAAGTTTTGAATGCAATGTTTAATTTATGTCGCATAATAATGCCACTCCTCTCAGTGTCCAGTAGTCTGGGCCGTCTTTTATTCCGGTTCGGAGGTCAACAGCTGTTATGAAATTAAGGTCGGTTCGTCTCTGTTTCTTGTAAACCGGGCATGAATACAACCGCGGATCTCTATTTATTTGAATGTTTGCATTCAAATGCATCACCGGCATCTGCTCAGTAAGAATTTTGGGTTTTGCTTCCGTCAGTCTACAATTTTTCTTATCCCAACCCGCTCCTTCTATGAATAATCCTGTGATATATACGCCTTCAGCGGGTGGCTTTAAATCAGTCGAATCTTTAAGAACGTCATTCGTTAGACTGACATTGTCCAAAGCCCATCCTTTGTGTGCTCGTGTGACTTCCTAAATTGTACATCGGATTCCAGTTTTGTAACGATTACTGTTATTGAGTTGATTTCAGTATCTTTTGATTAAAAGAAAAAAAGCTGATTTTTACCTGTCGCATTGCAGTGAGGAAGCCCTGAGGGTTGAAAAACCCGGTCATCCAGAAGAGCATAGGTCGTCCATCAAACACCCAGCTTCTAAATTGCTCGTTTCTCTGCTGGAGGTCACTGAACCAGAAGCCCAGCGACGATGTTTGCCAGGAAATCTTCAACCAAGTTGCCGGAATCCTTCCGTCGAACAAACTGTCTAACGCGTCTCTTAGGTTCTTAAATAGCAATGAGTTTTGACATGCTTTATATGTTGTATTTAATTCTGTTTTTTTTTTTTAAAGAAACAAACCTCGTTCATAATGATTGTTCCTTCAATTGCAAGCTTCAAGTCCTCCAACGTTGATCGAACGGCTTTGATTACTCTGTTCATCCTATCAACCTCCTGCCGGAGGAAGATATTCATTGGCTGCTCTTTTCCCATCTTGGCTAGACGGTCTTTCACCTCGTGAGAAATATACTCGGGTGGACACTTCGTAAGTAGGTCTTGCGACATTCTATATACGACAGTCTCTCTGGTTTCACCTCCTGTGCCCGCGCTGTCTTTTGGCTGCATGTCGAGAATTGTGTCCAGAACGTTCTTGGCACTCTGCCGTTGGAATCTAAAATAAACCTCTTTGAATTCACATAAACCACGGTTTTCCTTATCAGTTTTTTCATCAGCTAGGTTTGATAAGAATGCTAGTATGATTCAGTGTGATTCTTACGTAATGTCAGCGTTTGGGTGTAGTCCAAATGCCTCTGGTGTGTCTGTAGCCGGTAGCGTAGAAATGAAGTCCAGATAAGACTCAATTGACTTGAGGTTCTGTGGAATAGTGTATCCCCGGTGGAAATTGAATGTGGGTTGGAACATGTCCTCCTTGAACCAAGTGGTGGCGAATGTCACGAGTAGTCGCTTGTCGTAGTCATCTGTCACTCTGCCTCCGTATTGGATCTGACCAATCATGTAGCGCACAGTGGCCCACTGTACTCCCTGGAAAAAATGAATGTGGTATCGATTATAATTATGGATAAACTGAATCTTACTTCCTTGTGTTCGCATAAATTTACCTTCATTTTGTTGGAGGAAATACCAGATGTAGCAGTAAAATGACAAAGTTGCCAGATAAAATGCATTTCTGACCTAATATAATTGTTGATAGAAATTATCGTTTCTCAAAAGCTCTGATGCATTTTCGCCTATTTTTCTGTAAGCTTCATCAAGTATGAAACTTATCCAACAGACAGTTAGTTAGAAAAGAGTCATGAACGCGAGGAAATAAAAAAATTATGATTGAAGCTCATTGAATTTCAACAATTTATTATTGGCACTTTTTTTGAGAAAATTAACCCAATTTGAGATACTGGATCAATAAGTAAATTTTTTATTACGCTAGGAAATCTTCAAGTTAAATTCCTCGCTCGAAACTAGAAGTCAATGAAATAAACTGAACTTCTGAAATGGTGAAAAATAAAACCGCAAAAAAAACAAATTTGAGCGTGACAAATTTTGGACTTTTCGGAACAAAAATAGCAATCAAAAAAATAACCAATACCTAATGAGAGTATTCACTACGTTCATGACTCTTGGAAAAGTTTTCTGTTTTAGATTTCTTTCAATTTTACTTTCGTGAAAAGAAAAGAAATTAATATGTTGAGTGTCAGTTAGTACCTTTTTGGGATCCATGTCATCCAAGTGATTCTGCACGAACTGAACAGTGGCTGTGAAGTCTGCCGAGTTGAATTCGTAGGGGATATTCCAGCCGATAGGACCGAACTTCCTCCTCTCTTGCACGGCAGTGTGCAGGAAAGCCACGCCGTACAGCATCATCTTCCACTGGTACACGTTTGTGTAGTCCAGGGTGTCTTGATTCAAGGCTAAAAAGGTTCTCCGGAGACCTGGTTTGATTCCCTGAGGAGGCTCGTTCGTGAATTTGATGCACATCTAAAAATGAAGCTATGAGATCGATGTTGTAAGCGGCTTGAAATGAATGTTACCTGGAACAAATTCAGATAATACTTACGGCAAGCGAAACTAAAATGAACTTCGGCTTTTACCGCTCGAATCAAAATTCTTGTATTTTACTAAAAAGTAGATAAGGAAAGGAAATTCTACGGCGGTATTTTACTTTTCCGTGTTGTCCTACTTTTTCTTAAAGGCGTTTCCTGCACTCGAAAACGTAGAAAAAGGCTTTCCACTTACGGTCTCATTTTTATATAGCAAGATCTCACCTGCAACAGTGTTATGGGGAATTTGGGATGTGGTTCAGTGGTCAGCCACAGTCTGAAGTCAGGGTGCATGCTCTCCTGTTCTCCCACTATTAGAATTACTTCGTCCATAAATGCCAGTGACAAGTGAGTGTTCTGCAGTAGAACCCATCCGCCATTGGTTGTGAACTGCGTGAACAGTTTCCTAGCATGTACTTCTTGGCCTTGACCCATGGAGATGGCTTTACACTCTTAAAACAAAGGAAAATATCAAGGAGATTCTGTTTGAAGGTTTACCGTTCTTTACCCTTTAGATACGCAAGGGTATTGAAATCGGGTACTATACTTTTTCCCGTGAATAACTTAGTTCACAGGATGACATTTTGGTCATCTCCATTTTCGTCAACGAACAGAAAGATAGAGAACCTTACAATTTTTGAACTTGTCTGTATTTTAAATACCTGTTCTATTCGAATATGTTTTATATTGGTTGCAAATTCACCAACTCAGTATATCAGTTTCAGTATATAGTTTTTGTTTTCGTTTTTTATCGTATTTTTCTAAGTTTTTTGGCTTATAATATATCGGCTTAGAAGCCTTTTGACCAGCAAAAAATTTTTATCTAAGTGCTTCAAGGGTGGACTTAAACATTTTTGAGTTTTTAAGTTTTTCCAAAAAAACACAATTTTTTTCGACGCAACGTGCCTGCTCAAGAATTGTCGACTTTGGTAGATTTTTGATAGATCATTTTTTTTTCTGAGGCTTTCATCCCTTCTTTGTCGGTTAGTTTGTCCGGCTTTGTTTGGGTTTTTATCAAATGTAGCGCGATGCTTCGCCTTTAAAATTTCTAAAGGTGCAGGTTTCGGATATTTTTGCAAATTTTGATTATTGTTGGTTCATCTGCTAGTGCAAAGAGTGATTCATTTTTAAGAGTAATGCACGTAGTGAAGACTCTTATATAAGACTCACGAAAAAAATTTAAAATGTGCATAAAGGTCTCTTAACTACAGATGTGCGTTCATACATATTGATGCATTTAGGTAAATATGCACTTTTTGAGTTCATCACGCTCAAATTTTATTTTTGCAATTTGAAATTGATTTCTTCAATTTTCTAATCAAACTCATTTGCTCAAATGAAGTCAATTTGCGCTATCCAATTACGAAAACGCAAACGGTACGAAAACATTGATTCGAAAGTGGGTATTAATATAAAGATTTCTCAGCGGAATAAAAACTTTACTTTTTGATCGAGTTTTCACGAAGGTTGAGGTTTTTTCAACAAAGTCGTTTTTTTTAAATTTGTTTACTTGCGTTCATTACTCTTTTCCAATCTTCGACTACGTTTTTTTTATCGCAAGTCGGGCGAAGTTCTGCTTCGCCTGTGTATAAACGTGTATCCCCCTTAATGACCCGTACCTTTTCCATGCCGCTTAGCGAGGAGCATGATATCATTAGTGGGATCACTTCCCATCGACAAGAAGCAAATCATAGGACTCCGAGGAGTCGACTCCTCGTTAAGCTTCTCCAAATCCAATACCACGCCATCGGCGTATTTCTCTCCCTGTGAGTCTCCAATGTACTTCCAGGCCTGGGAGATGGTACGGTCGGGAGCGAAACTGCGAATCAGCAGAAGTCGATGGAAAGTATCCAGTGTTTTGTCCAGTCCGTCGGGTATTACTTCCTCTTCTGGAGCCTCTTTCTCTAGCCATCGCTTCCACTCTTTCTCATTCTTCTGAATCTGAAAAAGCAGAATTGTTTGCTAGCTTGCATCAATTGTCGTCAATCGCTCTTTTGTAAGCGTGGAGTGAACGTAGTTCAAATGCCGTCATATTTTTTGATTGTTGCCTTCATTAAAGGGAAAGCACTGATAAGGGAGTGTTCACAAATACTGAAAGTCATGTCAGCAAACATGGACCAGAGATTCCTTGATGTACTAACCAATGCAGTTAGATCCTTGAAGTGCTGCAACTGGGACAACTCTATCAAGTTGAGCCAGACTGCGTCTTCAATCCACTTTCCAGGCTTCTTTTCTTCGCTCTCCAGATCCCTGGTAGCTCCTCCCTTCACAAACACCTGCATCTCTTCGGGTTTGACCTTTCCCAATTGGATGTCGATTCTCAAGGTCAACAGAAGAGTGAATAGGAGTTTGTCTGATTCATAGAGTCCTCGTGCCTTGTAGGCCCAGATGTTGTAAGTCATGAATTCGATTATGTTGCCGAGACGTTTATGTGGGTTGGGACTTTTCTCGGCTCTTAAATACAAATATTTTAATTGATACCCTTAAAACTGACTAATTTTTCATCAGATTTTTTTGGTTCCGTTGTATATTTTTTGATAAAGAAAAACGAAACGCAGTGGCGTATGTTGTCTGTGTTGTTTTAGCGTGAACTTTTTACTTTTCGTGCATTGAGAAATGGGTCGTGGTCATGCATTTTCGTTAGATTTGTCTCGATTTTATAATCCAGTTTTTTTCATCAATCAAAACAGAATGCCCGAAGCTTATGAGTGACTTGACTTGTAAGCCAGTAAATTAGTTAGTAAATAAGCCAGTCGCAAAATCTTTCATTAAATTCTAACTTGTGAATGCAGAGCTCAAATCTCTCCTGGAACTGTTTGAGTGACGTCTGATACATGCCGTTGACATTACTCATCTCCACAATCAAGAAGTAGATGATACTTCCTCGCGACGCAATCGGTCTGAACTCTTCACGCGCTGCGTTAATCTTCACTGAAGTCTCAGCCGCCACCTGCAGCTTCTGAGTGACGTCTTCGCTCTTCTTCTTGGTCTCCCGAAGCACTGTAATGAGACCCTCATCATCGACAAGGGATCCCTGGGTCTCAGTTAGACGCTTGAGCAAGTCGTCCTCCAGTTGTTTCATGTCACGTTTGTTGGTAGTCACTTCTTCCATGAGTTTATTTCGCTCCTCTTCCAGCTCCTAAAATGATTATTGAGAGGTGTTTATAAAATTGTTTTGCGACCTTTTCGTGGCTAGTAATTTGCTAAAATAGCAGAAATAATAAACCGATCATGCGCCATAGTTCAATCCCACCAAATTGGTTTTGAGCACAAGTAGTCGTGTTGAGATTTTAGTTTTATCTTTTGTATTACCGGCCATTGACTGTGTCCGCTATTATCCTTAACGCATTTTGTTTGATTTGTGAACGTAGACGAACAATAATTCACACTAAGCTTATCAGGTGACTAACCTTTTTCTCGAGATTGATGACCATTCCTAGCAGCTGGTCCTCGAGACCCTTCATGGTGACAGTGAAGTCTATGATGCAGGTCCGGGCAGATATCTCTGGGGTGTAAGAGGGGTTGGGCAGTTTGGTTGTGATGTAGAGCATGAATCCGTCCATGATGTCCTGCTCCTTGTCTCCTACTTTCACCTGTGAACAATTTTTATTTTTTCAATTTTAATTTGAACTTTAATTTTCGGAGGTTATATGTTTGCTAAAAATGCCGAAGATATCGGGAAGATAAAAAATACGAGCTACGATAAAGAGCCAAAAATCACCACTGGATTTTTATTTGAGCCTAGAATTCTTATGAGGATTATTCATCAATATTCTGGAGAATATGAGGAAGATTATTGGACCAAGTGATCACACCAACTTTGAAACTCAAGGTCTTGAGAAATCTTATCTTTGAGTTTCGTTGCTATGCCTTATGAACATACGAGATAAGATAGTCAATATTCAGATGTTCGTACCCGGTAAGATGAGCCCGACTTGTAGAAATTTTTCTCCAGAATGTTATCCAATGCAGGATCCAGCTCCTCACTTATATCCTCAATCAGCAGTGGCTTCCCTTGTCCAAGAGCATCTTCCAGATGGTTTCGGAAGTACTTATGATTCAGTGATGTAATTTGCAGGCCATTTTGATGTTCCTTCTTTTTCACCCAGTTCTTTCCCTGGGTTTGCGGGTCAATCAGCAACGGGTACCTCAAGGCACTGGTTACAATGATTCCGTTTTGAATTGACAGCTCGTCATTCGGCAATCCATGTAGGTTCCATTCTCCGATAGTCGGTGGATCTGTCAACATGTCAATGAGATTCAAATCCAACGAGTACGGGATCTTTCTGGTTCGCATCTCTTTTTGCCAGCTCTTCAGTAGGTTGTTTCGGAACTCCTGGTTGAATGGTCCGGAGTAAGACAAGAATGCCGACCCCAGAAGTACGTCACCGACAAGCCTCTTAATCTGCTCTTTGAACTCCTTATTTTGTTGGGTCCAACGTTTTCTTTCGCCTCCTAGACCGTCAATAAGGCTACTAGCGGCATCCATTTTCTTTCGGCACCGCTCTGCATCGTCTAAGAGAATCTGTTTCTTTCTCATTGCTTCATCATAAAGAGCCTGTGCTTCGTCTAACTCGGCTTGTTTTTCAGCTAACACGAGTTCGGCCTCGGCTAGCTTACTGGTCGCTTCGCCGAGCTTCTTTTGCATGACTGTCAAATTGTCCTTGAGAGGAATGACTTCTTTGTTCACTATATAAAACGAAGCCATAGCTTTAGTCCAGTCAAGTAATCCTGCAACGTTACCACATACAGCAACAGCTCGATCGTGAGTGAAATCTTTGTATTCGAAGTAAGGATTCAAAAGTTCAATCATTTCTTCATTTACTTTGTCCTTGTCGAACTCTTGAAGTTTTTTCAACAAGGCGGGATCTCCCATGAGTTTCAAACTCTCCTGCCACGAGGGCTTGAGAATTGGGTCTTGTTGAGTCGTTTCAATGCTGACGGGGTCCAGTTTGCGCTCGAAGAGAATGCATACACAGTCCATGATGAGCTTGATCAGGAATGGAGGGGTTCCCAGTTTCTTGACAGTAGCGATGTCACTAGCCTTGATTGTCTTAAGAGCATCCTCAGCCGCTTGAAGAGCTGGCTTAGCTGCTTCCAGTTTCTTCTGGGCAATCGCTGTTTTCTCCTCAATGACTTGAGTCATTTCACGAGCCTTGTCGGCGTCAATTTTGACAGCAGCTTTGATCTGTTCGGCTGACGTTGCCTTAGCCTTGACCTTGGCCAAAACTACATCGGCTTCTTTGTTTGCGACTTCGAGGTCTTTTTCTTTAACGACTAACTCACGACTCAAAGCATCCACTTGTTTCTCGGCCTCGACAAGTTTGTCTAAACCGGTTGTCATTTTCTTAGCGTTGTTGTCAATTTCTATCAACTGCTTCTTGTACACGTCTTTGTATCCTCCCAAAAATGAGAGGTAAGATTTGGGGGTCACATGAGTTGTTCGTCGGAACCTAAATATAGAATTTGAGTTTAAAATGTTTTTTTTTTCGTTAATGATAAAGATTATGATTAACAAATATTTTAATTTTCAGGTATTTGATGAATTTCAATGGTATATTCAGCGAGACTTCTCTAGTTTTATGAAGGAAGAAACCAGTGCTCTGAGGTTTAATGGATGCCAACGTGATTGCAAGGATTTATAGATGAGTGTGCTAGCCTGTGGAAGTATTCGGTGCAGAGTATAGCCACTGCATCGTGCAGGGATCCCATGAACTCAATCAGCTCGTTTTTCACATTCAGTTCACACTTTATGTCGTAGTCCTGAATGAAGTGTCGGGACACTGCCACCAGCGCATCTCTGGGCCACCTCTGGAACCAGTCGATTGTGCATCCAGATATGAGTCCGGGGAACTTGAGAGAGCGACTGCGAAACTTTTCGCCCACCTAGAAATAATCCATCCAATGCAAAAACATGGAAAGATGATTTTGCAAAGTGATTTCAGGCCCTAAGACCTCTTGATTCTGATGTAAAAATATATAATGATTTTGATGTACAGATATCGATCAGTGATGAATTCTGATATGGTGGGTTATGTTATTTGAGTTGTTCTAGAACTGACCATTAAATAATTGAGTTTTTTTCGTGTAACGAGTTTTTCTTTCGAGTTATAAATGAAATAGAATAGAAATTTTGGAAATTAATTTACCGGTGAAAAGCACAGTACAATGTGCAAATTCTTCCTAGCCCTCGATATGAAGTACTCGTACAAGTTCTCAGGAGTGGGAGCCCGCTTCGGGAACTCTTTTTTCATGATTGGAATCAAGTCGTTGCAGATCTCGTCTATCTCGTCTCTGGCGAACAAGTTTGCCACCTCCCCTGAGGAGAGAATGTTGTTGAAGTACTCGAGGAATGCCTCGTCTTTGATCTCCTGGTCGGTGAACATGAATGAAAGTCCCTGACCTTGGCCTCCAGTAACCCTGTATTGAGCTTTGAGGTCTTCCATTAGGTTGGTCACGTTGTAGGCCCTGGAATCAAAATTTTATCAAGAGCGGAAAAAATAAATTGTATTGATCAATGAATCAGACGTTGAGACTTTTCACAAGGCACTTACTCTCGCAAGTGCAAAAATAAGTAGCGAAATTAATTACATAGCAGTAAAAATGAAGTAGAAATTATACCTTGTCAGGGTAATCTGGAACGTGTTATAACCAGCTATAAATGAGGCCAATCTGGTCAATGACTGTTTGCCGGATCCTCCCACTCCGACTAGGAGTGAGTTTCCTTGTGGAGTCCTGATGACTCTCGAGATCCTCATCAAGTGGACCATCGCATCCTTGAAGAATACCAGGTCCAAATTACCGCCTCTGATCTGCTCGTTGTACTGAACCATGTACGTTTTCAGTCGCTCCCTTCAACCAAAAAAAAATAAATTAAGCAACTCAAAAAATAAATATCAATCTAGATTCTGCAATTTTTAAACGTCAACAAATGTTATTCAAGTCTTCAAAGGTCTAATTTTTAGAACAAATATATATTTTTTGGCCGTACCAGGATGACAATCAATCAAAAATATAACTAATTTTCTAATTCTGTGTCTATTTTTGATTAGTAACCTCAAAGATTCGAAATCGACTATGGGTTCGTAGATTTTGGGTGCGTCGAAATCGAAGTCCTCTGGCTCCTCGCCAGTGGGCTCGGGAGCATCTCGGAGGAAATCGATGAAGTATAGTTCGCCCTCTTGTAGAATGGCTTTGTAGTCCTCCCCGAGTGTATCGCGTGTCTCTCGGAAGACGATATCATTGAACAGTTTGAAATCCTTCTCGTCGGTGAACCTAAAATATAGGAATATATAAGTATTTTGAAAAATATTTTGAAAACTATAAATTTGAAATATTTGGGCTTGCGGTTAGTAAGCGTTATTGAATCATAGTATACACTTTTTTCATAGTATACAACTTTTAAAAAAAGAATCACTGAATTTTCACCGTACATTAGCGTCTGATACGCCCAATTTCTCCAAATTTCAAAATATTCTACTTGTTATATTACTCCGTACCCTTGATACTGTAGTGCTCTTTATACAAGCGAGCTTCCAATCATTGTTCTTATTTTTTGAATATTTTGTTTAAATTTTTTTCTGTCTATTGTATACCGCTTAGTTTTTGCCGGACCTTTATATCCGATTCAAGTAGTTTCAAAAAAATTGAATGCAATTTTGATTTATTTCTGTAATTTAAAACTTTGCCATCTCCGAATTTGATTAATTTCTTTTTTTTTGCTGAAAACGTTAATTCGGCTAAAATAGTTTCGGAATATGTTATGCCAGGAAGGGGAGTTGTGGGGCGAAGTTAGAACTTCAGAGCTTCAAAGATTATTAGCTGATTATTTCTGGCAACAAATTTTGCTTTCGGCACAACGGGCGTCTTAGTTGTTTTTGCCTCAAATGTGTCGTTGTGGCGCATCGGTATTGATGGTGCCCAGCCATCATACGATGGCGGGTTCAAATCGCAGGTGTGCTACAATTTACAAGGTGAGCTCATTAAAGATAGCCATAGCTTAGTTATCCTTAAATAATTAACCTTCGCGTTAGGCCTCTGGCTGGTTAACCCAAAAAAATTTCCTTAAATATATTTTGCCTGAATGCATCCCTGTTTTAAGGCACGTTTTCTCCGAATAAAATATCAATAGTCAAGACAAACATATGAAGATGTGGTATAGGCAGTTGTTTTAAACGTAGTGAAGACTCTTAAGTAGGTCTTGGTACTTTTTGTGTTTTTTCTAGGAAAAGTCTTAAAAGTTGTTCACGCAAGTTTTTGATTTCTTTTTAAGTTCAGTTCATTCCGTTGTTAAAAGAAAAGCAAACTCCACTATCGAACAGCAAAAGTATTCAAGTCACGGAAAACGTGATTGATTTCAAGTTTTGAAAGTGGAATTTAATTTTCAAATGTTTAATTTTCATTCTAATCTGGAAATTTAGAATGAAAATTAATTTATAATGAAACGCTGGGAAACCTGGAAATTTTCAATTTTTCTCGAATTGGGGTAATTCTATCAAAAATGCCAATCATACATTGTTCTTGAATTTTAAAGAACTTAAAGGGCATTTGTTTTTCTTTAAAATTCAAAAGTTGAAATTTTTTAAATGGCAAGGTTTTTTTCTATTTTTCCTTGCGTTGATTACTCTTCCAATAGTCAGTTGCCTATGTTCGACTTTTTCAAATAAATTTTCCGCTCTGTGCTTTTCATACCAGTCTGCTTGCTGACCAAATATGCTTGTGATGTATCGCAAAAGGTGTGTTTTGAAGTTCTGTGTTTAAAAGTTTTCGACAATTTTCATAACTTTTCTGAATAAATAACACGGCCATGAGTAACACGGATATATATAACACGGCAATAAATAACCCGGCTCTGATAAGTAACATATCAATTAGTTCAAGAAAACCAATAAAAGATTGAGATTATTTGAAAACATTTTCAAGGGAGAAATATATTGCCTCAAAATTCAAAGTCAAGCCTCGAAAAACCAAATTCGAGCACAAAGAATCAAAGTCTTCTCCTGAAAAAAAATCAACCCGGCCAAATTTAGTGTCTTCTTTTTGTTCATTGAAACTTTAAAATTCTGAAAATATAAGAAGTCGGTTTTAAGATGATTTTTTCTGACCTTTACGAGAGGTAGTGTCTTAACAGTCTGACATCAGTGTGTGCGCTGACCAGAAATTACAATATTGCGATCGAATCGTAAGGATATTTGATTTCAATTACATTCGGTTAAACCATCCTTAAAATAATTGTAAACAAAAGCATAACAACTAGAGATCACATATTCATGGACTTGTTCTTAACTCTCAATATTTGAGAATTACTTGAATATATATCAACTTCTAAACAGTTGACAGTGATTATTCATCAGTGATAAATATACTTCTAAACAGTTGACAGTGATTATTAATTTCACTGCAGTAGAAACTAAATCGACGGAGAATTGCGTTACAAAATGCCTAGTGCGGAAAGGGGATCAACAGTTCGAGTGCTCGAGTTCCACAAATTTGCGTCCCAGAAAATAGTACCATGTGACGAGACGCCAACAGCCCTATGTTGCCATGGCAACCGGGTGTTCGCTGGGTTCGCTACATCTCGGATAGTGGTGTACGAGTTGTCTGAATTGGGCAATACAGGTTACATCAAGTCAGCCGTTCTGAATACTGTGGGAGTGCCTGCAGTCATCAAGTACTGCCCCATAGGTAAGTGAGAGTGAAGGGAGACTTGATATTTACTCTTCATAATTCAAGAACCCAAAACTCGGGATATTATGAAATAAATTAGTCCGAAATGTGGGAAAATAATACAAGTAATGGAAAAGGACCATGCTTAGAGTAGACAGGCTGGACAGTCTTTCATAGAACCACAATTATGATGATAACAATAAGTATGCCTATTTCTACGGCGTTGATGAAAATATACTGGTTTTCAAATGATTTGAAATAATTCTTCCTTTAACTATAAAAACGTGCATAACTACACCGAAGAGCTACCGCGAGGTACCGTTAATGCATTAAGCAATGTATTGATTTTCCTAGCCAAAACAATCATATCGTTCGAAAGTGACAACAGCTTCCCTGCGAATCCCGAGGTCTCCACCTACGAATCGGGTGAACCTAAAGTGCATGTCTACCAATTCTCGCAATGGACTCCCGATCGCATGGAAAAGTCTCTAAAAATAGTCAGAGTCGGGCGGACTACTGCTCAAAACTACCGAGGTGACATTCTAAGAAAACCGGCATATGAAGTCATTGAAATTTCTCTGGATGACGGAACCGAACCCGGTTCTCTGGACAGTGGACTTAAAAAAAACTGTGCCATTGATGTTTGTCCAGTGACTGCTAATCTGGCCTTAGGTAAAAGTATGATAGATGTCCCTGGACAAGTCAAGTAATGGAGACATGCTGATCGAAAGTAAGACTATAGATAGAAAATATAGGTCCTTGTAAAATCTTGTAAGCTTCCGAGGGCATTAATTACATCATAACCTGTATGCATCCTGATATAAGACCACATAATTTATTTATTAACTTTCGAAAACTGATATTTTTAAATTTAGTGTTCGATCCCCGCAGTGGGAGTTGTATTTTCATGTGCGATTACCTTAAAAAAATCATTGTCTCAATCCAACCTAAAAGAAATAATTGTCTCAAACGAATGAACAATGCCAACTATTGTTTTAAACCAGTTATGTACAAGCTTGTCACCTCTCCTAAGCCAGGTTTGTGTCATGGGCGAACCATCTATCATACTTGTACATGGCCATAGCTTGTGGTCCCAAGGTGTCTGTGTATAGACTAGTGTATGGAGGCGTGGAGAAGAATTTGCTGGACTATGAGTTGATGCTACAGATCACGACTATGTTTGCCAGTGTTAGCTATGTGGAGATACTCAATAGTCACTTCATTGTAGGTGAGACATAATCTTTAAAATGAATGAAATGAAGTTTTTTGATAGAACTACGCGATTGGCATATAAGGGATGTAATTTTTTTGACGGCGGTTAATGAAACAAATGCTTTCTTCTTTGCACCTTAGCCATTTAAACACTGAATTAAGAACAAGACTGTTCTCGTAAAGGCAAGGCCCTGAATGTTCCAACTGCTTTGTAAGGTCGATTGAGTAGTGTTAGATTGCAAAAAAAATGATGGAAAATTCAAAAATTAAAAATCAGATTTTTTAAAAAACATCCCACACGTTATGTGAAGTACGAAGTGATATATTTAGCATATTGCAAAGCATCAAATAGACCAAAGGGCATGCCTTAATTCAATTTGGAACGAAATAGCACGAAATCTATCGCGAGCTAATTGTTTGAAAATGAAACTATTTTAGCCCCCATAAATTTGAAAACTGAAAAAGCAAGTGTCTTGTAACCGGGAACTAGACTTTTCCCTGAACAACTTTTCTTACAAATCTTACCTGCTTTTCTTGCTTGCTGTTTTACTGAATCTTGAGAACTTAGAACGGAGCGAATAAACGTGATTTATTTTAGGTTCAAAAAAGGATTAACCCTTTTTGAATAAAAAGTACAGATTAACCCAGTTTTCACAAGTGAGTTAGTTTTAAGTGAAAACTCAATCAAGAATGATCCTCGAATTTCAAAGAGCTTTAACGTGATGTATTTTTTTTTCAGTTCGGAAATGAAAATTGTAAGTCAATCAGTATTTTTGAATTAACTGACACTTTTCTAAGTTTCTGATGGCTGTACTCCTTCTGTCCTTTTCCCCAAACGAAAATGCGTGTTTCCTTGCAGTTTTTGTGTCATATCGATTTTATGCTATCTATGCAGCATGATCAGTATCCGCTTTACTAAAGCGCTTTCACTGCTGCCTGTTTTTTGCTTGAAAAACATGTGTAAAAGGTGAGAGTTTAAGCACTCTTGGTAAATTTTTTTGCTCATCAGTCTGAAAGTCCCTTTTTTAAATCCCGAATTTACGATACATTGTTTAAGATTTTTCCCCACCAGATCACTAAATGGCGGGAACGAAGGCCTAAGGAATTTTTTGCCCGATTATAAGTACTCAAGGAGAGCTCACAGAGGATAATTTCATGTAACATATTAAATCTCTTTTAGTCATCATTTCGACTCTTAAAACTTCAAAAAAGTTAGCTTCTTTTAGGCTAATTTGCTTTTAAGAGCGAGTAAGAGAACTTAAATGCATATGTTTTTCTTGTGCTTTTCTAGTTATTTTTAGCAATAATCAAATCAATGTTTCAGATAATTATCTAATTAAGTTCATATCCACTGCCTCGAAAAAGAAAAAATATATATTTAAAAAATGAATTTTCATAAGCAAGGGCATTGCAATCGGGTACTAGACTTTTTTCCCGTTAAGAAACTTGTTCACAGAATGGTGAAAATTAGAAATGGTAAATTTAAGTTCAGTTCTCAACGAATTCAAATTTCTTGGTTTATCCGGCACACTTGGTCTTCAGGTAACGATTACGACGGCAAAGGTCCTGGGTTCGAATCTGACGGGATCTTTTTTTCAAACAGTAAATTTTCCGTTTCAAAAAAATATGTCGGCTTTTTATTTGTATGCGTATGTTTTGTCGGCTTTTTTGCCACCTAGAATTGTTTTTTTTTTGCTATAAGCAGTTTACATTGTAGTTGTTTTCAGTGTTTCGATTACTGCTGTTTGTAATTTTATTAACCTTGACTTCGTACATTTTTTTCGCTCAAAAATTTTTGAGCTTTATTGATTTTAGCTTATTTTCAAATTGATTTAGTGACCTATACTTGAGTATTTTCAATGGAAAAGTAATTTTCATACTCATTTCTGGATAACAAAAATTGCTAAAATCTTAGGAATTATAGAAATTATAGTTCAAGTTTTTCATGACAACATTTTTTTTTCTCTTCCTCTTGATAGGTTTCGGCCTTTATTATATCGGCTTAGTGGCCTCTTTTTGATTCACTTAACGAACAAAAAAGCTTTTTGTATGTAAGGATTTCGAGGGTGAGGGGAATTTTAATAAGTTTTTATTAGTCATAATATTTTTTGATTTTTTTTCCTTTTTCTTAAATAATTTTTTTGGCCGAATAGGTTTCGGCCTATATTATATCGGCTTAGTGACCTCATATTGTTTCATTTGACGCAAAAATAAAGTTAGGTGCGCGTGTGTGTTTTGAGGGTGAGTGGGATTTAATAGCTTTTTATAAATCTTAAGTCTTGTTGATTTTTTTTGGCTTACAGGGTTTTCTTGCTTAAGTTATTTTCGGCTCTGTTACTGCTTGGTAATTTCTTTTTCTGATGCGTATTTCCAATTTTGTTGTCTTGGAATGTTTTTGTTCAAAATTTAGGCGTATTCATCTTGCTATGAATAGTTTTTTGACCTGTTCGATTTTTTTTTTCGGTTTTTTTTTCAAACTTCTAGGCTTTCTCGTTTTGTATTGCAAGTGATGCGAAGTGCAGCTTCGCTTTTGTGTAAAAAAATGTTTCTTACTTTCTAATTGATTTTCTTAAATTACTGTGGTCGAAACATTTTATTCTAGATGCACAGCAACCGGCTACATTTGTTTTCCTTATCGCTTTTGATTTTTTCTTTGGGTGTGCATATTGTTTTCGTATCACAATGACCGTGTATTGCCACTTCTATTCTGCTTTGCTTAGCCTTTTTTGTTGTGAAACTCAGAAATTTGAATAATTTTTTACCGTTGCGATAATTTTGTAAACAAATTTTTTTTCTGCAAATGGGACTCCTAATAAACATGGTTTTGCCACTTTATCACCTTGTTTGCAATATTTCAAATTTTTCGCCGTTAAATTGTACCTAGTAGTGGGTTTTAGCATCTGGGTCCAAAGTGCAAGTCATAAACATAGAAGTTGACAATACAGCGCCAGTCAAGAAAACGTCATACGCTTCTTTAATGAAGTCAAACAGTTTAAGCTACAGGTCTTCATCGCCCGCCGATCACATGAGGTCAAAAATCTCCCTCCCATTCTTGAAGAATAAATTCAGCTCAACTGACTCTTTGAAAGGAGCATCGAGTGAGGAAAAGATGTCCGAAAGCAGTAGCCAATTGTCAGTTACTAGTTTCGGACTGGATATGGATCGTAATTCTTTCTCCTCGTCGGCATCCCAAACAAAGGCAGCGTTCAAGAAAAATTATAGCGTAAGTGAAGAGAGTTTTGATGCAGTGTATAAATGAATCTTACTGAGTTTTGACTGTTTAATCTCAAATTTATGTGGGAATTCCTTAGGATTTTATTTAACCCCCGCTCATCTCCAATGCAGGACCAGTGGGGGAGGGGGATGATTCTCAGGCATCATCACTTTCTGGAGATAGTTGATATTTTTTGAATAGATATCGACACTTGACTTGGAAAAGGCGATCATGTCACACCTGAAGCTGCCGAATCCGAGTGTGGTGTCTCCAATCCACTCTCCCGAAGGCAGCTGCTCCTCGTTCCTGTTTAATCAGTCGGAAGTTGTCGTGCCTCGAGAGACCCGCTCGGCCCCTTTTCATGCCACTTCAACCTCTGCTATGACTGCCGGGTTGCTCGGTGGGGTGTTCATTTATTTAAATTGGGAAGCAAATTAGCCCATGAAGCGCTGTTTTTACTGGTTTTTGTTTGTAGCTCGACAGTTTCAACCACCATTGTTCATTTTTGAATATATTTTCTAAGAACGAAAATTGGGTTTATGAAGTGCTGAAAAACATGAAACTTTGTCTGAAAAATATGAATCTGAAATTTAGTCGTTGCGTTTTTTTAAAAAGAAAGTAGATTGGTGAAGATTGAGTAAAGTATACTAGAAATAGGAAAGTTGTCCAAGTTCAATGCTGAACCAATATTTAATTTGGTTACTAGTGAAGTGCTTAGGACCCTCTTTCCTGCCTCTGGGCAAAATGGTGGAAGTGGATTGGGCAAGACAATTTGAGACTGATCAGATCAAGTTCAAAAGGAGACAGATGGCCAATTTGTGTGTGAAATATCTCTTCTTCAGACAGATGAGACCCAGACTGGTTTCAGTTCAGTTCTCGCCTAGGTTTTCCAAAGGTCACATATATCTACATCACAACTTGTTACATAAGGTCATTCAAGCCAAATAAATTTGTATCTTAATTTTTAAGATATGGAACCGATATAAACTATGTTATTTAATCGGATATAGAACCGATATAGACGCTTGTGCAGCTCCAGTTTCGTGGACAGCGCCGCGCTGAATTTCTATCTGTCAAGAAATTTGAGTATCATATCACCTCCATATCGTCTGCTGTAATCTAGTGCTAATGACTAAGACTGTGTCGCTTCAAAAACAATCATAAAAACATTAGCCGCTAAGACATTTCAAAGGAAAAACGGAAAACAACTCATCCAAGGGCTGACAGCAGTTTTTCAAAGACTAACGAGGCATTATACCCTTAAAACTCAAGCAATCGTGACTAGTTCTTCGACAGCGTTCTGGATTTTTTATTTAGAGGTTCTCGAACAGTGAAAAAAATATTTTATTTTCGACGCGGAGAAAATTTTCGAAGTGTAGTTGTCATGATCTTAGCATATCATGCAATATTTTGTAATTATTTGCTCATATAAAATGTATGTATAAAATCGGGTTTTACAATTTTCTAAGTTCTTACCGCTAAAAGTTATCGCAATGATCAAGTTTAATCCGTTTATTTTTAGTATCGGTGGAAGGCATAAAAGCCCTGAACAATTCAGTTTTCACACCCTTCAACCCGCCGAAATGTGGACAACACCTGACCCAACTCTCCCTGATAATAGCCGGACCCCATCTGGGTATCTCAGTTGACCTGACTGATGAAATAAACACTGTGGTCGAATTCCCCTTTGCTGGCGAATGTCTTTCCATGTGCGGGGACGAGTGCTTCATGTACGTCGTGTTCAAAGACTACCTAGAAGTCTATACCAGTAAACATTTGAATATAGAGTGCGCGGTCAAAGAGGATAACGTTGACTCCTCGAAATTGGCAAAGGTTCCGCAATTTCTGGCTGATCTTTGGATGAACCAGCCTATTTTCATGTGTGGAAGACAGAACTTTTTTGCGCTCACTAAATTGGAGCGATCCAAAATCAGCAATGATTCGATTTTATTGCAAAGTGTCTTTTCGCCATCCAAGTTCGGAGGTGTGCAGAATAGCAAGACAGTGAGTACAGTGTACTGTCTGGTGAAGGAAAGTGTGTTGGAGTGCTGCCAGGCTATGCTGGTCAGAGCAGAGAATCTCAGAGTAGGTTTAGATTGAATTTGTGATGCCTTTTGTTTTATTTTCATCCATTCATTTGATCAAATTCAGTTTTTCTGACAATTTTCAGTGCAGTTTTTTGACTGCGAGATAACGCTTAAGCATTACTTCTATAGTCCTGGTTTAGTCAAATTTTTTTACTTCCGATTTCTATTTGTGAAGCTCTCTCATTTTGCGATACTTGATGCAACGAAGACGTTTCGTGTAAAGTCAATTTGCTCGCTCGGGCTGTCTGTTGAAGTGCATCTTCACTCATGTATTTCAGTGGGTGGCCCAGAGTCTCTATCTTTCGGTCGTTCTTGAAGTGTGGGTGCTACTTCTCAACAACTACAACACCCAGCACCAGAGTATGTTCCGATCAGTGTCCAGCAAACTCCTGGAGAGTCTCGCTCTCACTCCGGCTCTCAGTGAGATTTCCTTCCACAGAGTGGTGAAGAGCAACTCGAAGACTAGTAGAGTCCAAACTGAACAGTATGTTCCCACTGTGCCGAATGCGGTGTTGAAGTTCTTGATTGACAACAGTGATATATCGAGTGCGGATTTTCTGGACAATCTATGCTTGTGTGCGGAAACGAACCAGGTTTGTGGCATCACAACTTAATTGTTGACATTTTTTCGGCAACTATCGACTTTTATGACTCGTGGATAAGCGGTACTAATGAGATTTACTTTTGAATTTAATCTGCTGCTCAAGACTTTTTTTTCTGTAAATCTTGACAGTTTTTCTCGACATCAGAAGTTTCTGTTTATAGTTAAGTGAATTATTAGACGGTTCTAGTGATAGTCGGTTTTTAGGGAATGTCGATCGATGTGTGTGCATTGAATTTTCTAACTGAAAGCCGTGAGTCAATCGAGTTGCTGCGAAATCGGGTCGAAGAGAGCCCTAAAATCCTCACAGACCTTCTCAAACTATCTCTAATCTACGCCCCACACTTGATATCGAAGCTATTATATGGCTCCAAATTTCAATTCTCGCGTCACATGTCAGCTAATGATATCACCGCCTTTTACTCGAGAGAAACGCTTGCGACTGGTCATTCTTACATTTTATCGGCGTTCGACAAAGTGGCAAAAGCTGCGACACACGCAGCATGTAGTCAATTTGATCTTTTCGGCCAAACGCTATCTTCGATTAAATTGGATGATTTTCTTCGAATTATAACAGACAATGTCAGTTTGTTTTTCTGCCCAAAAGAGTCAAATCAATTTCTGCCTATTGAGCGTTCTGCTAAAATCACTGTTGAAGATCACAGGCCCACAAAATTTGCTCTGCTTTTGAGCAAAATGCATCCAGAATTCTATGTGTCCGCTTTGGCCGAATTGTACAAAGCGGGTGATTTGAGAAAAGAAGATACTGTCAAATTTTGTACAGCATGTTATTTCGACGAAATTAAAAAAGTATTCGATAACTGTGAAACTCTTCGAAACCCGAGTTTGAGATTTCTGCTTGAAAAGATTGTCAGCAGCGCTACTTTCAGTAACGAATATGGCAAAGATCTCTCTTGTGATCTTTATATAGCTGCAGTGATCAAAATGTATCTTCTAGAAGATTCTGAAACGGTAACAAAAGCGCGTCAGTTGGACCGAAGACAGACCAAAGTTTCCAGATTGCCGTTAAAAACTGAGTTTTTCGACCAATGTGTTCGAAGTATGATCGGGGATCGCAATTTTGAGTGGGTCAAAATACTGTCGCCTTTTTACAGCATTGCAAAAGAAATGGATTGCTGCAAGAAAAGTATGTGCGATTTAATTTAGAATCGTTTAGATTAGGAAGAAAAATATATAAATTTTTTCTTTTTGTAGGCTCAATCTACCTCTTGACAAAATATTCAGTTAGATCAAACATTGGGCTTTACCGAATGAAATTGTTGTAGAAGAATTATATTGTTCCTATTGTATTAAAATTTTGTTAAAAAGTTTGTTTGTTTAAGGAACTAAATGATCAGTGAACTTTTATTTCCGAAAAGTAAAAAAAAAAACTTTTTTGATTCAAATTCCTGTTTTAGCAAATTTGTATGGTGACCTTACCCCACATCGCAAAAAGAACATATCCGCCGCTGGAGGTAGAAAAGACGGAAGTTGCGAAGCGCTGCCCTGCCCGTGTCTAACTTGTCGTCAAAATATCCTCGCAGCTCAAAGTCTCCTAACTAACGAAGATCTTCCTCTGAGAGAAGAAAGCTTGACTCAGTTGAAAGACTGGCTTTGTAGGCACTATGAAATATTGAGTCGCGAAAACCTTGTGTCGGTAACGGGTTATTATGAATCAACCGAAAAGTTGATTGAGCTTAAACTCGATTTCAAGTCTCTTATTTTAGAATCTCTGGGACGAAATGATTCTGGATTCCTATGTGCTCTTTTGGCCCCAAATGTGAAACAAATGACTTTGAAAGACGTAAAAGATTTGTACCTCGAAATTTCCGAGACCAACTCCGACACTTTGGAAGTCGAGCTGGTGATATTACGTCATTTGTCGCATTACATAACAGTGGAGCAAATGGTTGATATGATCCCTGCCGAGCGGAAGTTGGAAAAGTATATCGAAGTTTTGAAATTGTGTGACAAGCGAGAGCGTAATAAGGGAGATGAAAGTAAGAGAAGAAGCACTAATTACAGAGAGCGCAGACCATCTGGTCCTATGATTCGAATCAACGACATGGAGACTCGAATGGGACGCCTATCTTCGGAATTCGTCATGTGATCGTTTGATTGATCATGGATAATAACAAAATTGTATCAATGACAATTGGTGATAAATAACAGTATAAATTGTGAATACCAAGTTATTTTATTATCAAACCACACCTTAGAAATTTTTAATAAAGTATGAGTAACACATGCAGTACCAGAACTAATTTTCGACTAAGTTACGAAGTATCAACTAGAAAATTGATCAGATTTGGAGGTGCTGAACTCATCGTTGTTTACCAACAGAGTGACTGCTTAGTTAAGCAGAAGAGGAATTTTTGGAGCGTTTCTGGTCTAAACATCTCCAGGAACGAGCTCAGATCGTGTTGTGCTTTGCATCACCAACCTTTTGGTTGAAACACAGAGGCACTAATCACTTGAACTGCGCTTATGAAACAGGGTGCTTATGACACAGGGATTATGCAATAGAGCCAAGAGTGACAGACAGTTTGGCATGGTTGCATTTTTTTGGAGGAAAAAATTGTCAAAATTATTCTTGATCCACCGTTATGTTTTTATTGCACCTTGAGAGCTCGGATCATTTAAGTATTCGGGTTTATTATTTCCTTGTAATATGACGTGTTACTTCGCATTTGCGTGAAAGAATGGTCGGTTGCTACTGGGACTGACCTGTCAGAGATGACCCTTTGGCACTCGTGTCTCCACAGTCCGAGTAGGAGTTTCTCGTCCTTGACCACTTCGCTGCCGGTATTAATCATGCCCTGCCAGATGCGGGAGAGATCTCTGAGGTTGAAGATGTAGTGGAACTTGGCAGGCGTTGGCAGCATCACTTTCTTCACCTTCTGCCACACCTGATGATGCAAAAAGAAACATCTGACTTTTTGTGTCTCAAATTTAATGTTGAACGGAAGTTTTTTCCGGATATATTTTTTCCAACTCTTCTAACAGACGTTTCTGAAGAAAGTATTTGAAATGAGTTGATCAAAAATCCGTAGGTCATTCAATGGATTGCCTTAATTCTTTCGCCTAGGAGCTCAATTAGTAGCAAAAAAAGGTAGACGAGTTTCATGGTCTCGTTGATCATTTTCAGTCATGGGAATATAATTCCCCTCTGGTTTCCTGTGAATTTAGAGCTTTTCATATTTTTTCGTAGTCAGGATAATGCCATCTATTTTTTGCTTGAAACAAATCCTTCTAATTACATACTTTGGTAGCCTAGATGAGGTTAGTAAAGGTAGTCTAGGTAAGGTTAGCTAGCACACTTACCTTGGTAGTCAATGGGACCAACTTGTCCACCAGTCCAATCACGTCTGCCTTGAATCCCCTCTGTGGACAATAGTGTCCACAGCCGATCTTCCTGAAGATCATCTCTATCGAAGACTCAGACGGCAGAGTGCAGTTGAAGATGCAGAACTGTCTCTTGAGTCGCATTGGGATGTCGTTTCGGCCTCCGCCAGGGTGGATCATGGCAGCTGTGAACTGCATGTCCACTATGGTTGTGAAGTCGCCTGGTTTGTCCAGGTTATAAAACCCACTCATTTCGATAGTCTGTCGCACTATCTCGTTGGTCACCTGCAAACAAAGCAAATTCATGAATGTTTTTACGAACGTTTTATCGGAAAATGTTCAATGATAGTTATTTTGAAAATAATGCTCAGTTATTTGAGGCTCAATTACGTACACAATTGAGTTTAATTTACTGAGATTTACTGGACGTGCAAGTTTTTCTCGTTTTGAATAATTTGTTTTACCTGATCACCCCACTCGTTAATGACAGGCATGTTGATGTCGTCAATAAACACCGTCATTTTCTTTCCCGCCGGGGGTCCAAAAGTGCTGCCCATCCGCTTGTCAATGTAACTCTCAATGGTCCTTTGGAACATGTACGGCGTCGTTGCACTAGAGAAATTCAGACTCTTGTTCATGTGTTTCTCAAGGTCGTTTTTGTTCATATTCCCTTTTATCATGACTGTCTTGGCGGTTCCTTGCTCACCGATTAGCAGAACTGGTCGGTTCTGTTTTCCTATGGTCGAAATGAGAGCATCAGTTCGTACGTTGTCGACGTTGGGAACCAGGATGGAGTTGAAATCGGGCGTGTGATCAGTTGGATAATTGTACTCCTCAACTTGGGTCTTCCAATGTCTCCACTCGCCTTCATTTGTGACGTAATAGTCAAACATTGTGTCCAGTTCGGTGTTTTCTACATTCGGCATATTGAGCTTCTGAGGAAGTTCCTTTGATGTTCGCATGAATTCCTCTAATTTTCGTCTATCGTCCCATTCTAGGAAAGCTCCAATTCCCCACATAATGCAGTAGGTGTAAAGTGGTTCCAAGAACTGCCGACCGCTTGTTGGAGCCTCGCGTTCTTCCCTTACTGGAATCAAACCTTCCATCAGACGAATCATCTGCTTAACTACCATGCATTCGAGGACTGACATTTTGTACGTCAAGTTTTGCACGCTGAAGTCATAGATGACTTGGAACGAATTAGCGAACAGGGTTTTGATCATGTCGCCCTCTTCTCGTTTCCGATCGCGGAGCCACCCGGAAAGAATCGGGTCCCAGCTAAGAACGGAACTGGACATGAATACCATTCCGTTTCGAGAGACGGTAGCGGGAGATGCGTTGTCGATGTTGTCGGGCTCAAAGATGACCTTGCAGTTGGCAGCCATCGGGATTCGATCTCCGTTCGCTAGGGTGAGGGTTCGATTATCGTCCAGGACGGAGTTCAAGTTCTAAAACGAAAGTGATTTAGGTTCTTAGCATTACACCATCAATTGTCCTGGTAGTTGAATCAAAACTTGTAATATTTTTCCTAAAAACTGGCTTTACAGATCTAACGAAAAGAAAGAAAAATAATGTTGAATAATTTTGAACTCACCTCAATCCAGATTGCATCAACTGGTCCATCTAGTATCAGCCAAATATGCTCATTCTCTCTTGCTTTATGTGTCTTCCTCCACAAAGTCGAGAAGATCCCATCTGTCCAATCATTAGTCGCCACGTCCAGTCTTCCAAACATTTGAGGAGCTGTGATAGCTTTGGGGTTCATCCTCATTTCCTTGTGTGGAACACCTTGTTCTGTGAAGGATTTTAGCAGAGTGTTGATACAAGTTGTTTTACCCGCGCCTGTTGGACCAAGAGCCATAATTCCCCAACGCACCCTTTGAGTCTCGAACAGCTGAATTATCTTCAGGTTCCAATCTTTATGATTGACCAGATTTCCGGCATTGTTGACAATGTTGTCAATCGTTCGTTCCAGGTCTGGGTATCCCTTTTTGTCGAGGACCATTCCGGGGAACAAGTCGTCGATTAGAGACTGGAAAAGACCTTCATCTTCGTCTATCAGTTTGGACAAGTTCATGTCTCGAAGGACTCGCATCACAGTTTTGTTCTCGGGGTCATTCGGACTCTTTCGCTTCTCGGATCCGAGGGTTCTCAGAACCGACAGAATGTTTCTCAATCCAAAATCGTAGTGCACTTGCTTGGACAACTGCTCCTCGCATAGTTTGTATAATGTGTAGAATTTTCTCGAAAGTTCGATGTTTTCGAGGAATCCGCAGCTGGCGAGTTTGACTCGAATAATGATGGCTCTGTCTGGAACCATCATGGCCACTGTACGGAACATGATCTTCAGATTTTCAGGAAGCTCTTGACGTCCAGCATAACCAGGGTTCTATAATAGTGTCAAATAATATGTTAGTTTCATTTCACGAATTGATGAAGTAACATCTTTAATCAATGAGTTAAGAGAACGTTTGTGACAAAAGCATTCAGGAAAATCTGTAAGTTCAATTCGTAAAATAAATCAAGACTTTCTCGCAATATCAGATACGTTTTGTTGTGATATTTATATTCGGCGGTTCATATTCTTAGCAGAATTGATTCTTTTTGTAACACATTTGAAAATTTACCATTGTAAGGAAGATTCCAAACTCTGGATTCATATCCACAGTGTCTCCATCTGAGAAGATGAACTGCTTCTTCTTTTCCTTCTTACAATTCAGCACAATCGCAATCTGCTGAGCCGCCACAGACAACACCGGCAACTCAATTCTGTTGAATTCATCAAAACACCCCCAGGATCCAGACTGAGCCAGACCCTTGTAGATCCTACCAAGTCCTCGGAAGTCCATCTGGTCAGAGCAGTTGAACACGACCACGTATTTGCCCAGACATCGTCCCATGTCTTTGGTGGTCTCGGTTTTGCCGGTTCCAGCGGGCCCAGCTGGGGCACCTCCCATGGACATGCCAAGGGCTTGAGCCAGGGTAATGTAACATCTGGGAAAAATCAATTTTAGTCAGGCTGCTTTTGTATTCTTGAATAGCTTGCAGATAATTACTGATTTTTTTTGAAAATTTGGCAAGATTTGAATTTTACAGGATATTTTGCCTTCGATATAACATTTTTCTATTATTTGAAAGTAGTGTTGCGAGAGGAATGTCCAGTTTTGTCAGTATTCGGTATTTGAGTGTTTACATGAAGTACATTTCGAGCGATAACTTATGAAAGATCTAGCTATACTTTTTCTAGTCTCCGGCCTTATCCACTGCATGACCATCCTGGGGGAGGGGTTTTCATCCATTTTGTCGTAGCCATTTCCATGTCCAGGAGGCGGATGATATTACGAACCCTTCGACCGGGACCGAATTGGGATTCGAACCCTCGACCCTCGCCCACAATCTATCTATACCTTACTGCCCCCGCCAGAACTTCCTGCTTACCTATCTGTGAGTGGAGTGATTACAAGTCTCTCTGTGCAGCCGACGAACTCGTTCTGGTAGAGGAACATGACGTCAGTGATTCGGATCTCCAACTTGTCTATGTCCTCCACGAAGTAGAATCTGCACTGCTTCAGCCACTCGAAGTCAGACGGAGACCGGATCCTCATCGCCACCTGAAGTATTCTCAGGTCATAAGGGAAACGACATATATCCTTTTGAAAGTTGCTGGCCTTTTTGCAATTTTTTCAAAATGCGATGAAGTCCTGTTTAGGTTTTCCATAACTCAGAAAAGTGACAGTGACAGCTCACTATATGCCAAAACGCTCCCAAAAAACTTGTCTCGGGTGTTATGATGTGAAGTTTGATGTTGACGTACGAACACCTGACTTTTTTGTCTTGGAAGCAAATGGACAAAGGCAGGCCTAAGCGGGCGATCGAATCGATGTGTAATGTTTCACTTTCGAAACTTCAGTTTTGTCTGCAAATAATCAAACAACTACCCGTAAACCATATGCTGACGCTGACAGCATTAGCGATTCGGGACGTAGGAAATTTTGGCAAAGACCAAATTGTCTTGTGACAAAGTGACATGCAACCGTGTAAAGTCTCTGCTTTGACTTACGAGTTCGTTAAAAATGTCCCTCTGGTGTACGTGGATAGTGATGAGTGTCTCGTACTTCCTCCTCTCGAACTTCCACACACTCTCCAAGTCCTTAGTAGTCTGGTGGATGAGAGTGTTCAGCATCTCCAAGAACTTGTCGTTCGTCTTCTTCATAATAGTCCGATCGTACTTGGTGTTAGCCAGCGCGTCAGTAGCGTCTCGCGTCCACAGCAACTGGATACCCAGTAGGCCAATCTAAATATATTAAGTTCTAATTAAACCACTGTATTTTTGATATGTGGAGGCAATTTTCGTTCGATAGAACTGCATTTTTCTATGCAGAACACTGAACGCTCCAGCTCTTCAACTTATGAATGAAAATTATTTTTCAATTATTCAAGGCAGGTTGAGATTAAGTTGTTCAATTAATAAAGCTCCTTTTTAGAGTTAAATGGCTCTTCTTGATTATAGACCAAATAAAGCAGATGCTCATGGGTATTTTCTGTGCAATGTTAATAGTGAAAATTTTCTGTTGTGACAAAATCAAAGCGAAATTTTGTTTTATATTTTACCGAACTTCACTACGATTTGGTTTTTGGGATCGCCAATCAAGTTGAATAAGATTATGGATTATTAGATAATTGGATTAGTTTTGTTTATGATAATTCAACTTTCTCCTTCACGCTTGCGAGGAGAAAGCGTAGTCAAATCGGAACATGACTTTTTTCAAATCAAAAACTTGTCTAACAGATTAGCTGAATCATTTGATAGCTTGAATTATAACCTCATCAAGTTCAGCATCTGATTGTGCACATTTGGCGTAGATGCCCATGCCTAGGACGACAAAGTATTGGGTTCGAATCCGGCCAGGATCTGTTATTTTTGCAAACTGAAAGTCTTCCTCTTTAAAAATTTTATCGTTTTTCTGCTTTTTTGCTGTTGGCTCAGTTTTTCTGCTTTTTTTTTCTATTGGCTCAGTTGTCAACAGCTATCGTTTTTCTGCTTTTTTGCTGTTGGCTCAGTTGTCACACACCGATTTTGCTTAAGTGGGTGAAAATTAAGTGGGATTAAGTGCGAAGAGTACTTAGGAGGGACTGGGAAACCTTTAAGGCTAACAAAAATACATAGGAAAATTTTATGGGGATCAAAGCCTTTTTTTTCACCAAAAATTACACGACCTACTTGAGTGCGCTCACTATGTTCAATCAGAAAGGGAGTTTGCGATTGCTGTACAATTAGTTTTTTTTAATCATTTTAATTATTGCAAAAAATATAATAGCGAAGATCTAATTGAAAAAATGTTTGAACAATTTTGAAATATGTAACTTTTAAAAAAATTTCTGACCTTTTTATGGTAGCGAGAAAATATTGAAATAAAGCATCGAGAATTAAGTATATAGCCAACATACATTTGGAAAAAAATAATGAAATCAAGACCGAACACAAAGATTAAGTTTTTGAAATCATTTTTAACTTTTATGTTTCACCGATAAAAACATATATCACCCTAAACTTCTTTGAATTTTGAAAATAATTTATAATTAACGCTTTTTTGATTTAGTTTTCATTATTGGAGAGAGTATTTTGCCTTCGATTAAGCAAGAAATTTGAAGTGAACTTAGAAAGAAACCAAATCGCGATAAAATCCAATTTGAGTGTGAACATTTTTCAAGTCTTTCCTGAAAAAAACCTTCATTCATTGACTGGCACTTACTAATTGTTTTGCGAATGAGGCAAAGTATTTGAGCACTCAGATTGAGATTGAATACTCCTGATCTAACCAAAAATAACAACCTTTACAAACAAAATTAGCTACTATTCCGAGCAAACAACCCCGAGAACTTATTTCCTGCTTCGTCAAGCGGTCGTTACAAACATTTTTTGAAATTTAGAAGAAAATATTTGTTGTCTATTACGCAAATTTCGGTGGCCATTGCAACGAATTTATGCAATTTTCAGTAAATTAGCATTTCAGTAAATTACAAAAACTATCTTCATCAATTTCAATCTAGATCGAAGGCTAGAAATGTTAGGTAATATATATTTTTGAGATTTCGCATGCAGGAGTAGTTCAGTTAATCGTTTGATGCTGTTGTTGCTCTTTCATCAACATCGGAAATTTCTTCCCACAATTCCTTTGGTACAATTTATGCGCAATATCAGACTCTAAACTCCTCTCGACTTCCTGTTCCACTTTTAACATGTGATACTCCCGTCTTCGATCTTCGTCATAATCCAACAAGGTGTAGTACATTTTTGCGTGAACGCACTGCTCGAAAGTCTTGCATAATTTATTCACGCTTGCTCCGCCAGTTACGAGGAGCGAACTGAGTGCGGCGCCGACTGCGATACACCCGCAAATCATCCAGACCAAGTTAACGAATATCTGGTCGAAGTAGGGAACGAGGTATGGTAGGACCACTCCAATTAGACGTCCACCGCCAGAGCTAATTCCTAGATAATTATTTGTACTTGAGAGACTAAATTGATTAGCTAACACAAAGGCTCCGTATATTCAATCAGCAGTATTCTTGTTATTTTTCTGCTCCTTTTGATTTTCGTTTGCAATAAGTACAATTTTCTATCAAAGCAGATACACTTTGCTGCAATCAGAATTAACTATCCGAAAATCAATTATTCGACTCCTGACTACTATTTTAAGACCTTTGGTAGTATTTTAAGGCCCTAAATTTTTTCTAAAGTCGCCTTTGGCTCCGATATAAGGGGGCAGCGCGGAGGGGGGGGGGAGAGCGCGAGCCAAAAAAAGTTGCAAACTTTTTGTCAAAACTGTCCTAAAAGTGTCTAAAAACGCCTTTTTTGGCCTGATTTTTTTCTTAAAATTGCCTGCGGCGCAGAAAATTTTGGTCAAAACAGAATCTTTTTAGTCCTTAAGAAGAGCTCGGAAAATCAATTTGGTAGACCTAAAAACAAAAATTTTTGATGTTTTTTTTGAAAATCTCCGCCTTGACCCCTCGAGAAAATCCTAGATCCGTCCCTGCTGTGAAACTCATTTCGTTTCTCAAGCACAAGTTCTCTTTCCTACTATAGCTCCCCTAGCAAATTGTTTTAAGTTGTCTGGGGGCTACAATGGGAAAGAGGGCAATCTTTATGCACCTAGTAGCGTGCATCTATGACACTCGGGAAGCAGTTCAATGGTGAGAAGGTACAGTCCATTGAATGCACCTGGTGACGTCATAGAACTGAGTCTGGTGAGGAGGAACTCCAGGATTGGGAAGGATCCGAAGAAGAGAGCGAAGGTCCTGGAGGCACCGCACAGGGTCAGAAACAGACAGTAGGTCTGCACGTTTAGAATAGAATTAAGGCATTTTCCCATAGCATGGTTCGTTCGTTGTTAAATGGTTCATTTTTTCAGTTCACAATCTCGTATGCTGTAAAATTTTTCCCACTTATGAAAAATGGAAATAACTAGCGTTTGCGATTTACCAGTTTTTTTCCTGTTTGCCTATTCAGTAAAAATGTTTTGTTGAAATTCAAGTTTTTGAGCTTGGATACGTGGAGGAACAAACATAAGTTTCAGTTGTCTTCCTAATTATTGTACTAGAAATTGAGATTTTTCAAAAGGAAACCAACAAAATTTAGGCTTCAACAGATGTTAAGCACTAATGAATTTAATTTTGTTGTTGAATCATTTTGGGTTCTGGTCAATGAAAACAAGCCTTGCCTTAATTCTATTCTTCCATAAAAGAGCGGTCATGAGGTATAGAAATATGGACGAGACTTCGAAGAAGCCCCCCTCGTAGAGACTCCACTCGAGAGTGAGGGGGATCAGCTGGAGGTTTTCGGGGGGCATGTAGTAGTTTATACTGTAGTATACCACAGTGTTGGCTGTCCAGTTCAGAATCAACAGCCACGAGACGAATCTGATTGGACGAGAGAAGTCTGTGTCAATCGTGTTTTATGGCGAGTGACTCAATAATTTTTAGTTTGTTTTCCGTGATTTTGACTTAACTTTCTGGTACGTGGGGAAAAATTTAATTATATTTGGGTTGACAAATATCTCGTAAAACTGCATGGTTAAGGGGGAGTGGTGGTGAAGTGGTTACGTCTCCGCCTCTCAATCGAAAGGTCGGATGTTCGAGGCCCACCATGATCCGTTCTCGTTGCTTGAGGGTGAGGCAACATTACCCAGCCCACAAAAATAGCCAAATAAAATTGCATGTAAATCTTAACCAACCAGGGGCACAACAGCGCTTATCCGCGAAGAGCTGAACAGCTCGTATGTTGGGCTTTTCCCTTGTGGATAAATCGTCTTAAAGTACTTGTTGTTTCATTTTTGTTTGCTGCTTTACTCATTATAAAATTCGTTGAAATTACCTGAACCCTTTGTGGTTATACAATTTTACAATGATGCTGTTTTTCAACAATTTCATTGGGCTCCAAAGCCAATTCCCACCATCGTCCGAATCCCCATCGCTGTATGAAGTTGGAATTGGCACGCCGTGATTGCCTATATATTATGTGCTCTTATTCCTTTTATGCCTTCTTTATTGTTGGGTTAAAAAATTGTAAATATTGTAATATAGAAAATCTGAGGTGACAAAAGTCATAAGTGACAAAAGTTGAATGAACACTTATTGTTCCGCCAACTATTGAAAATGAGGAGGCACTTAGTATTCGAGTGTGTTTAAGTTTTTTCTTTTTTTTTCCACGCAAAATCAGGTACCACAAATAATCATCGGACTGGTTATATCATAATAAAACCCTTTCAGTCGTAACTCGAACCACATAACAAAAATTTCCAAAAAGTTCACTGTTGAGAAAAAACGGTTTGGAATTTTTGATTTTCAGTCTCATTTCTAGCTAGAACAGCGAGCAAAGAGGCTTGTTTTTGCTTAATTTAAGCGGTTCAAAATAGCGTATTCATGCTTAATTTTAGTTTTACTCGAGTAAAGTTAGTTTTTGGAGTTTTCGAAACGTCATTTTAAGAATCAGAAACTACAAAAAGTACATTTTTTTTCACAATTTTGCTAGTCATTTAAGACTATAGTTGGAACATTCTGTGCTACTTGCATAAAAACCGGCTATCCTTGTTATTTTTTAAAGACAAATGTTGTTAGTTTGCTTAGAAAACAGGTGAATAGTGATATGATTGGCGGTAAAAGGAAGAAAAGCTGACCAATGTGACTTCGCTTTCGAACGGAGGACTTGAACAAAAACTTGGCGAAGTTCCACTTCGACAACTCTTCGAATTTGGCGTTGAAATCGGGATTTGAAATGAATGCGATTAGCGGAAAGAGAAGAGCTGTTATGAAGACGTAGCATGTGGTTAACGTTGCATGCAGAGTTATCCAATCGCTGGTGTTTAAAGAGAGTTGTCCGGCTATCGCGATTCCGACTCCAAATGTCATGCCGAGCATCGAAACGCTTACATTGAAAAATGATTCTATTTTATAGCTCGTGTTTTTATTTCCATGGCGTTGAATTTTTTTTAATGCTCTAAAGGGCGCGGCTGGCTAGTGTTTTTCGTGCTATTTAAAGCGCAGATTTCAGAAAAACAAAAAAGCGAAAAGTTTCAGTTACCACTGTTATTTGTCTAGTTAAGGGATTGCGTATTTTAAAATTCGTCACCCCATGAATAATGATGCAACATGTATACCGTTTTGACTTTGTCATGAGTGAGCTATAAAATCAGAAATTATACCTCACGATTCGTTTCTTCGGCTTCGTGCTCCAAAACTCACTTGCCGCTATAGTTCCAAGCGCGAAGAGTGTTATGGCCGCTCCCATGTAGAACATGTAACACACTACATAGCCCATGAATGTAGGCATGAACAACATGAGGAATCCCGCTGCTGCGTGAATGGATGACGCAATAAGGAATAGCATGCTGCGACCGAGAATGTCTCCGAAACTGAGCAACACCGAGCCGAGAAGTTGACCTTGGTTGTTATAATTTTAAGCGTGATCAATGAATTGAAAAATATATACTTTTTTGGATTTCAAATTGAAAGTTTTGCACCGATAGATGCCCTGTGTCAATTGAAACTTATTTTTTGGACATAAAACATTGCTAATCTCGAGAATTGGATGGTTTCGTAACTTGAAGTATAGTATTTGCAGCTTGAAAAATATCGTGAGCGAAGTGAGACACACGTACAGTACTTAGAGTTTTTTCGCAAGTGCGTTTTTTTAAATTTGAGGTATTTTTGATCACATTTTTTAAAATAGTTTCTACAAGCGCGTTTTTTTTTTTCAAGTTGCGGTGTAGTTTTTTGATCACACTTATTAAATAAAATAAACCTTACCCAATGATCCCAATGAGCTCATAGTTTTTAGCATGATTGCTCTTTCGCATACCAGTTTGTATTTCGTTTTCAGATTGTGCTCGATTTCGTTTTTCTGAAACTGCCACCCTAGCTCACCGCAGTTCTCAACTTCAGGCGGATTTTCGGCCATTTCGTCAATATAAATCCGAAACTGCTCCAGTGTGATATTTCTTCCGTTTTGACGTTTAAGAATTGATTCAACATGATCTGAATTATATTTCTTGCAACTATGCGGACTTTCAAATCTTCGAGGGTTGGTGTTCAAATCCCGGTCGGGCAACAGAAGTTGTTCGATCTTGTTCGCACTTCGACGCTTCTCAGAGTTTCGCAATTCGTCAAAAATCGGGTCGTTTTCAATTGGCGTGTAGCAACGAAAGGGTAAAGGTGTTAGGTAAATACGAATGCATCCAAAAGCAACTCCCAAATATAGATACAAAAACACCAGCGGTAGGAAAGCTAGAATTTGAAGAGTACTTTTTCGTTCCATCATTAGCTCTAATTCTTGGTATATGGATTTGCGCCGTGCTTGCGGCACGTTGGCCGCATTGCTTTGAGATTCGCAACTAGCTTTGACCATTTTGCTTTGCAGATTAATTTCAGGGTTTACTTTGCCGTGTTTTCAAAGTTATCTTCAGACCTGGGCGACAATAATCTAGAACTTTATGATGTGTGATAAGTTAAGGCTAAAAGCTCAACTTAAAAAATAATACGGAAATTTGGCGACAGGATTAATTGAGAAACGCGTTTGCTAGCTCGTCTCGAATGATCGCTTTTTAATTTTGATGAGTTTTGGAATCTGAAATGCTTCTTTCTTCACTGATAATTTATCCTTTATGTCCAGAAACTTTTTTCAGGCAAATGTGGGTTAGATATAGACAAATTGAGTTCTGATCAGTTCTATTTTTCTTTCTCCGATTAAATGACGTGCTCTGTAAATTTTTGCGACTTGGTTGCTAGGGAAAGTTTTTTGTGGACGCCTTTTGGTAGACGAACTGTTTCTTAACCAGAAATTGGCAGTATAATGAAAGTTTATAGAATAGTCTGCCGCTATTTCGACTTCCAATAGATAAATCGCAAACGCGCCTTAATTTAATCCGGATAACAATATCCCCTTGTGCGCCAGAAAGTAACTTACGTAGCATTACCTGGCTGTTGGCCAGTTTTACTTTTTACTGGGAATTGTTTTGACCAGGTTAAGTCATCGACTTGATTGTTTTAATCGGGATTTTTGACGTATGGATTTTTACGTCTAAGTTAAATTCTTGGGGGTTCATTTTTTGCACCGGGTCATTGAAAAATTGGTTAAATATTTTGATTGTTGAAAAGGAACTTCTATATTTGTGCCCGAATAATGAGAAAATATTCATGTTGAATAATTCGTAGAGCCAGTATGTAAACCGGAATTGATGAAGCGTGAACTTATTGATATGACTTCCTCTTCATAACTATGCTAACGATCCCACTTGGGACTATACTTTTGATGCGGCTTTCCGCCGATCAGTTTTGATGAGACTGAACGCCATTTGAAGCCAGCGCAAAAAAATCATCCGATATTTTCTGTTCATTAGGCTAGAAAGAAATTTTCCAGCTTGTATTTTGGACGTTAATGCACCACGGGAAGTGGTAAAAAAAACTCGCTAAAAAGTTAACTGGCGATATTGTATAAAAAGGTAACTCCCACTGTGCGATAACTACTTGACCAGTTGCTGTTTTAGGGATGGGGTGGGGACGCCCTTCTACCTCAGGTTTTAGACCTCACGATCTAAAGGGTCCCTCCTTTGGTATTACTTTACGGCAAACATTTTTTGCTCGTGTAAGCTTTTGATGTTTTATAAAGTGTTTATTTATCATGTATTATACAGGTTGTATTTTGAGTATGGCAGTTCATTTGAAGCATATCGAATGCTGTCTAAAATTAAGGTCGCAGTAGTTAGATTTTTTGTTGCCCAAGCGTTTTAGTCAGTCATTGAACCTTTTTTCTTAACATAAAAACTGCAAACAGGACGCGAAATTTCAAGATAATTTTTTTTGTTACAGCAGAATTATGAAGTTAACTGGACTATAAAAGATATCTGGTAGATAATGATAATAATAACGAAGTTAATAAGAAGTATAAATTCTTTTGTTTGTTAGCAGCCTCCAAGCTAAACTTTGGAGATTGTTCAACTTAGTGTGCACCTACACCAGTAATGAGTGCAGATTTATACCTGTGCGGGGTAGTTGTCGAGGAACTCGATAAAGTTGAAGCTGGAGTCGTTGATGACGACAGAGGCTGCCCTGATGACCCCGTGGAGACTCTTCTGTGCCATGTTCAGCAGAGTGGTCAGCCAGTGCTCCACTGTATTCTCACACTTCACCGGCTTCTCCAGTTCTATCTCCTCCCCTGAAGACAGCCACAGTTAATTAAAACTAAGTATTACTAATAAAACTAAACAGTTGTGACGGAAGAGAAATCAATTAGTTATTACAGTTAATCTCCTCGCCTAATGAGAGCAAGTTGCACAAAATATAAAAAACTACAAAAATTTTTCATAGAAAAATGCTTAGAAAAACAAGGACAAATTCAATTTTTTTAAATTTGTTTTTCAGAATTTTTTTGCAGTTACAAACACTTTTTTATCGCTGTTTTTAGGAAAAGTGAAATGTTCAAGCTCAAATTTGATTTTTTTTGCAGTTTGACTTTTGACTTTTTTTTAAATTCAGTTTATTTCCTTTGTTAAAAGGAAGGCAAACTCCACTATCGAACAGCAAAATTGTGAAGTTCACAAAAACATGATCGGCTTTTAGTTGCGAAAGTGAAATTTAATTTACCTATTTCCCAAAGGAATTAAAAGTTTACCTATTAATCCAGTTATCTCAAATTGGGTTAATTTTTTCAAAGAAGAGTAAATTGTTCTTGAATTTCAATGAACTTCAAGGCCATATACTTTTTTCTTTGAGTTTTGAAATTTCAAGTTTTTTTTACAAACAAAACATAGCCACCAGATAGCCAACAGACATTTGGAAAAGAGCCTAAATAAATGCAAGTAAACTGAAAAAAAAACTGACTAAATTTCTTTAAAAAAATAGATGCCCTTAATGCTCCTTGAATTTTTGGAACAATATAAGATATGTCAAATTTTTATTTCGCTGGGAAATCTGAAAATTAATTTGAAACTAGAAATCGATCACGTTTTTTGTTACTTTTAAACTTTTGTTGTTCGATAGTGAAATTCGCCTTCCTTCTGACTAAGGAAATGAACTGAACTTAAAAAGAAATCAAAAGTCAAACCGCAAAAAATTAATTTAGAGCCTGAACAAATTTTAGAATTTTGCTGAAAAAAAGCTTCTCATGATTTTTAATCGCGTTTTTCTCAAATTCAGTTGACTTTAGACTGAAAAGGTATGGACAAAATTTACTAATTTTTGACTCAGTTTTTGTTTTCAAAAATTTCGGAAATACTTCTGGGTCAATTTCTGAACTTTTGTGCTACTGTGTGAATACGCTTTTTTAAAACTATTTCGAAAAGCGAGTGTTACTTAGCTCAACCAAGTCTTAGATAAATACACTCTGAAAATTACTTGTTCTTCTTCATTTTTTGATGTTAACATTGCATCTTTTATTTTGTTGAAGGTTATTTAAAAAAAACTATCTATTCTAATATACACTGGCTTAAGAAGATACAATTGACCAATTTTTAGAGAAGATATATATCACCTTGGAGTTTTTTGAATTTTGAAAAAATTTTATAATTGACAATGTTTAGATGAAACTTGCTCTTTTCGAGAAAGCAAAACTGGATGAATAGATGATTTTATACTCCGCTGGGAAGTTTAAAAATAAAAATCCACGTTCATTCTTTTTTGCGGCATTTGCTCATTTGTTATTAGAGATCTTAATTTTCCTTCGTTTTAGAAAAAGTTTTGGAATTTAACTTGAACAAACAAAAGTCAAACCGCGAAAAAATATACATTTGAGCTTGAACAACTAAGATTATTTCCTGAAAAAATCAATAAAAATGATGAATGGGGAAAACGCAGCACAGCCTGGCTCATTAACAATACCTTCGGAAGATATGATTTTGAGGATGACGTCTCTGTTCTTGTCGTGGAACTTGACCTTCTTGGTGTTGTCAAAGATAGACAACAGGTGGTTCTGGATAGTATGGGGGTCACTCGCTTGACCCAATATCTCTAACAGGGCAGGGTCAGACACGAAGAAGAAACGCGGGAACAGCAGACGCTTCTTCTCCAGGTAACTGGAAAAGTATATTTTTGTTATAAGTTCAACTTCGAAATTGGAGGGTTAATTGATATATTTCCAAGAGGATCATTCATTTTAAGGTTTTCTGGTACAAAAATTGAGATTTGATTATGTTAATTGCGAAATCTTGCGAAGCTATTTGAAACGTATGTTATCAAAACTGGCGCGCACTTGTTTTATTATTAACTTAAAAAATATGGCAACCATTTTTTAAAATAATTCGACGGTCGTTTGATGAATCTTACAATTTTTTGTTTCTCTAAAAGCTGAGCAAATTTTGCCAAGACTTTCAGGATAATCGATATTTAGCCAAGAATCAACATAATATTAACCCAGTGAGTGACTTCTGGCATATCTCCAGTTGGTCCTTCAAGTGTGGCAACATATCTTTGCAGGTGTCATCAGAAGTGCAACACTGCTTCACATTCGTCGTCTCCTGCGCCTTAGTCATTATCTTAACCCACGACTTGTCTATGTTCGTGAATCTAAATTTAAGATTAAACGTGTGAAGATATTAGCTTAAGTTTTGAAGATCTACAGAGTTTTGATTAAGTAGCTATCAGATGGGCTTAAAGCATGCTCAGATCAGAAGAAGATTTATATTATTCTCACGATCAGAATTTTTTCGATATTTCGTCCGCCGAGTTTTTATGCAGCTGGCGACTTTCAAAATCTTGCTACTTCAGAAAGAGCTTTTTTTTAAAAGAAAAATTGTCAAAACTCGTCAGCATTTTTAATTCTCTGTGTATGATGTGGACTAATGATGTTCAAATTTGTGGCACTGTAGTTTCGTAATAACTAATTGGTAATAACAATTTGACTCCTTTATAACCTCTTGGCCTCCTGTGGGAGCTGTTTGGCGATGTCTCCCCCCACGAATACTGCCTCCAGGTAGACCCACAGGTTCTGCACTATCATCCAGTTCTCCAGGATCTCCTGGGTGTTTGAGAGGTCAGTGACCCACTGCTGGATCTTCTTCTTAAAGGGCACGTTGTACCTGAAATATAATAAAACATCATCTTATTTGTTAATTAGTGATACTTTTTCAGCTTAAAAAAAACAAAAAACCGTTTTTTACTCAATACATTTTTTTACCAAAAACTTCATTTTAACTAAAGGCCTTATTTTGACCAAAAACCTTATTTTGATCAAAAACCTTGTTTTGACAAAAAACCTTGTTTTGACCAAAAACCTTCTTTTAGCCAAAACTGTTTAATCAAACACGTTCTTTCACAAACAAACCTTCATTTACATCTTTAAATGCGTTCCAAAATGCGCATACAAAATAGTGTGCATGTAGTTCTGGCCTACCTAAAATTTTTCTAATAGCGCTCTTAGTGCTAATGTACTTTATTTTTGAGGAGGATGGGGACGAAAAGATCGCATTTTTGGAAAAAACCGTACATTAAGTTCCGTTAACGCAAAATTTTGTCAAAACAGGGTCTGTATAGTCTTTGAGAGAGCTCAATCAAGCTGGTTGACCTAATAATTAAAAAAGTTTTAAAAATTATTCAAAATTCCAGATGAGCCCCTTCTGCAGATGCCAGATTATTTTTCAAGAATGTTAGATAATTCAGTTTTTTTCTGGATTTGATCCAATAAGAAACTTGAGTAAGTGCATTTGAAAAAAAGTTTTTTTCTTTTGCTTCAAGGAGTGCAGTGGTGATTCTTGCCTGTTTCCCATGAGTGAGCTGAGCACCATGAGGGAGTCCTCGAGAGCTGTGTTCACAGTCTGTATGTTGTCTCCACGCAACAACAAGTTCCCTGTTGACACAACACAATTATTTTTTCCCTTCTTATTGACCGTCAATCGATATCGATTTCTAGATAGCAAGCTTTTTCAAATTATATTTCGCACTTTACAGGTTCTTGTTAACTCACTGATGTTTGAACCGATTTCAAAAAAGTATTATTTCAAAGCCTACGAGGGTCAACTATAGTTATTGATTGGCATGATGTTGATTGATGTTTTCAGCATTGATGATTCAATCATTTGGACAGTGTCTATTGTTATAGTTGAACTTGGCTGACCTCTGCTCTTGAACTGGGCGAATGTGAATACATGTGTGTTCCACTCCACCTCCACCGCCTTCAGTTTGGCCTCTATGTCCTTCTCCTTGTTGGCCGAGATGCAGATGTCCTAAAAGTTGATAAGGTTCTTCATAGACTAGACTGTTAAACGAATAGTTATTACGTTTTCCTGTTCTTTTCTCCGTCACTACCTTTTACTAGTAATAATTTGAATCACAATGTCTGATTGTAATAGATATACGGGTTGATTAGCTCAATCAAAACATATCTGGTAATCAAACCTAGTAAAACTACTCGTAAAAAATATGATGTTTCTATCAGGCGGGGAAGAGAACCGCTTGGGATAGCAAGTGCTTTAGGAATCGGTTTAAAGACGGTTTTTCTTTTCTCTAAACAACTTTGTCCGAATAGTTTGTCCATATGTAGCTCATATTTCACCTACTACTTTTTTCTTGTAAAACTTCGACTCACTATGTCCGATTGTAAAAGATATTAGCATACGGCCTAATTAGCTCAATGCAAACATATCTGGTCGTCATATCCAAGTGTTCTACGCAAAATCAGGGGCCACTATTCCACGTCAGATAGGACCGATTGATATATCACATTATTGCGGTTTCAGTTATGATTTGGTCGACACAAGCAGATTTTCTCAAGTTCAAAAAACCAGTTTGAAATTTTTGCTTTTAGGACGATTTTAAACGAATGGTTGCTAGTCTTTAACTTCTGGTTGTCCTTCCTTTCATAAACGCGCATAAAAAATGATATTCCAGAAGTTTGATTTTTTCACGTATTTCTTAACTTTTTTTGGTAAAACAATTGTGGTCAGAACCTTCTTTGCAGGCTACGGCTTTTCTCCCTATTTCCCCTCACTTTGCAAGTATTTCGTTTTCATTATTTTTTTGTTTCGTAATAAGGCTCCTTGATAATTTTTTGAAAGAAGCGTGACTACCTTGTGTGATATTATTTTATATGCATGCTTTCTGATATTAATAGAGACAAAAAAGTTAAAATCAAGATGGGATTTTCAAAGACCTTTTTGATTTTTTATCGGTTTGTGTTGAATAGTGCCGTGATTTTTTCAATTTTTTTAATACATAAAACCAATTTGGAAAGAGTTTTTGGCTCAATATCTTCTGAGAACTCGAGTTTTGATAAGATGCTTAATTCCATTTTTTTGAAGATTTATCAAAAAGTTTTTTTGAAACATCTCAAGTGTTTTCTTCCTACATTTATCTTTCTTCGTTTTAATCCTTTGCATTTTGGCTAACTTGTTTTGATTTTAAGTATACAATGTTATCATTTTAAAAATCATTCGAAAGGCATTGACTCAGTTAATATTTTATCCGAGTGGTATCTGAGAGTGATTTTTTTTTCTTCCAGGCAAAATCAGGTACCACTAATAATCATCGGAAGGGTTAGAATGATTCATTTTTAGGAATTTTTTTCAGCCCTGATTCGAATTAACTTTAAAATTTTCAAAAACTGGTTCCAGTGTCGAGAAAAACGGGTTTAAGATGTGTAGCAAGGGTAATTGTAATCGTTAATTAGAACTTTTCCTGCGAACAACTTCAACTTCTCGTACAAATCTGTAAGAAAAATGTGCAGTCACTTTCACGTGCAGGATATTGACATCTTAATTTTTGAATTTTCAAATAAAACTACGATCCTTTAAAAAGTTATTGGATGTAGTTTTTTAAGCCGTAATTATTTTTCAAAAAAATTTATTAAAAAAGGTTCTGCGAGTTTTTTTATTCGTAGCTTCTGTCCTTGTTTTCCGATTTTTGTGTAATAACTTTGTTTGATTCGCTTTCTGTTTTGATTTAAACAGTTTTTACTTTAATTGAAAGTTCTGCGATTTGTGAAAATACCAAATCTGTTTTTTTTTTCTAAATAAATGTTTCGACTGCTTTCATATTGGCTATTCGACTTAATGTGCGTTGTTTTTCTGGGCAAAACATGTGGGTTTTATGTGTGAAGTAGGGATTGGCCGTGAGAACTTTTGAAACTTTATAGCTTAATAATTTTGTTTTCGGCTAAACAGGGGACGATCCAAATTTTGTCTCCTTAATTACAGCTTGTTCAAGGATTCAAAATGCTTGTTAAAAACGCTTCTAAACATCAGAGACAAATTTATGAATAAAATTTTGAGTAAAGGAAATTATATTGTTGTGTTTATAGGTGTTGTTATCTATTCTAAATTTTTTCTCACAAAAAAACCAATGCACTATTATATAGTGCAATGATTTTACTCTATCGCAATTATCGCGAAGCTTGGCTTCGCCTCTGTGTAACTATTTGATATGAGTAACCTGTCTGTTTCGCTATCAGTAAAATAATTTATTTTAGAAAGTTTACACGCCATGCATGCCTTTCCTATGACGGCTTTGTTAAAGTACATTCAGTTTTGCTTTTACTTGTTTAATCTGTTTAGTAGGGAAAAAATTGAAAAATCGTTTTTTTTAGGATTGAATCATTCTCATTAGCCTCGAAAAATTTTTTTGAAACTTTATAGTTTAGTTGTTTTATTTTTGGCTCAACAGGGGTCAATCCAATTTTTGACGCCTGAGTTACCGGTCGATAAAGGATTCCGAATGCTTCGTAAGGCTGTTTTTAAACATCATCCGAGACAAATTAATGCATAAAATTTTGGATAAAGGAAGTTATGTTGGCTTGTTTCGAGAGTTGTAGGTGTAGATTTTTTTCGAAATTTCATAAATCCGTCTTTTTCTATTCACAATTTTTCACACAAAAAACAATGCACTATTTTATAGTGTAATGTTTTAGCTGTATTGCAAGTATCGCTAAGCTTGGCTTTGCCTCTGTGTTACTACTTGATGTGTAAACTGTCTGTTTCGCTATAATATCAGTAATTTAATTCAATTTAGTAGGTTTAAATGCCATGAATGGGTTTGTTATGACGGCTTTGTTAAAAGACATTAGTTTTTTTGACAATTTCACCTTTATAAAAATTCAAAAAATGAAAAAAATTGTTAAGGATTGAATCTCATCCTCATAAGCCTTGAAAAAAAATTGCCTTGAAAGAAAAGCTAAGTAAGCAAGGGCAACAAGGTTTAAACCAAGTACTCGAAATTTAAAATTTGGAGGCCCTAAGCCACTACGACATGCTCGCCTTGAAGTTCTCAGCTACGAGTCTTGAAGTTACCTCAAAAGCAATAAGCATTGAATGCGCTTTAGCTTAGAGAAATGGTTCTTGCTATTTAAAAAGTCTTGCAAAATTTTAGCTTGTGTGATAGTAGTTTTCAATATGCGTGGTTCCTCTTTAAATTAAGTTTACAGATAATATTTAGTTACTGTTTTGTGCGATTGATATATGAGCCATTTCAGCTTTAGTCAAGTCAGTTCAAGGCTAATTGCATTTGAAGTATGGTCAGGGCTCGAGGCTGAGCAATAAAAAGTGAGCCAGGCTGTGTGGTTTAGGGCATCACACTGTTAATCTGTAGTTTTTGGGTCAGAAGATTGTGGCCCTTGCTTGTTTGCTTTTAAAAGGCCGACTTCTTAGAATAGAAGCTTACGCAGAAAATTTGCTCCTAATTTGATTTTTCAAATTATAAAATTTCAATTTTATCTCTATTTTAACGTTTTTTTTATTGTTTCATAGTAATCTCTTTGAAAAAGTCTAAGTTTTGGTCCCAAATTTGGAAACAAAAAAAACCTAGCCAACTGACAGCTGGAAAAGAGTAATGAACCCAAGGAAACTAAAAAAACGACTTGCTTTTTCAAAAACCTTGAAAATTTGAATTTCGAAGAAAACGATAGATGGCCTTAAAACTCTTTGAGTTTGAATTTGTAGAACAATTTATGATGGACAGTTTTTTGTTAAAATTATCCCAATTTGAGAAATTTAGATCAATTCGTAAACTTTTTATTTCGCTGGGAAATCTGATAATTCTTTTCTATTTTCAAAATTAGAAGTCGAACACGTTTTTTGTGATCTTTACACTTTTGCTGTTGGATAGTGGAGTTTGCTTTCTTTTTAACTAAAGAATTGAACCGAAAGAAATCACAAATCAAACCGCGAAAAATCAAAATTGAGCGTGAACAAATTTTAAGACTTTTTCCTGAAAAAAAATCACCAAGACCTACATAAGAGTACTCACTACGTTCATCAATCTTCATCAAATTTTGAGGATAAAACTACTGAACACGAAACAAGCGATATATTTTTTGCTCTGAATAGTTTCAGATTAGAACTACTTACAGTTTAGAACTTTTTTTAGTGGGGGAAAAACTAGGTTGGATGTCGAGTGCGGTTTTTCAGTTGACTCAGATCCAGCGATAAACTTCAGATGTTGTCCATCTGTATCTTAAACTTCGGATCAAGATACCGAACTTAACGTTATTGCTTATCGACTTCATTTAAATAAGTTGTGAAAGAATTTTCCTTCAAACTTACGATCATACAACCTTCAAATGTTTCAAAATTAAAAGAAAACAGCAACTGAAAAAAGTTTTGAAAACATATAGCTTTTTCGTGTTTTTGTTTTTAATTTTAATAAACATTACAGTGCTGATTTAAATTATCCGGACAAAACGAACAAAACTTGAATTTTCAAACGCGTTTCTCTCAAATTGGGTTAAAATCAGACAAAAAGTGAAGAGGACAAAAGTTGCTTAGAATTTCACCAGAATTAATATGGTGCCATTTTTTCTCCGAAATTCTCAACAAAAATTTTGCCCCAAAAGTGGGTCATTTTGGCTTTTTTCAATTAATCAAGAATTACGCTGAAACTACTTTGTTAATTGATATGAAAGTTATATCACAGGAAGCCTATTACGCAGTTCAACAAAGTTTAAGAGGGGTGAAATTTCCAAAAATTTGCGCAAATTGTTTAAAATTTATTTTTAAACAGAGATTCTGGGTTTTATATAGTAAAAATCACATTTATTGACTATCAAGTGAAAATTTTTTCATTTATACTGGTTTTTGGAAATTTATCCCTTCTTAAACTTTGTTGAACTGCGTAAGAGGCTTCCTGTGATATAACTTTCATATCAATTAACAAAGTAGTTTCAGCGTAATTCTTGATTAATTGAAAAAAGCCAAAATGACCCACTTTTGGGGCAAAATTTTTGTTGAGAATTTCG